CTCTGGATTATTTGTTGAGTTAGGTTACACATGTCACCTATCTATGCTGCTGTGAAGCTGAAATCCAGTCTCAGTTAAAGTCAATCAATTCAAAAAGTAAAAATAATAAATTAATTATTTTGAGGATTATTATTCCTTAATTAAAATATTTTTTTCCTCTAAATGACAATATGGCACGAGTAATTTGAAATTGTATTTAAGACAGTGTTATATTATGGTCTTTGATAATAATAATTGAACTTTATTCATCTCACACTGGCAGAGGTAACAAAGTACAGATACTGACTGTACTTAAGAACACTTTTACTCATTACATTTTCACACAAGTATCTGTGCTTTCTATTCCTTAAATTTTTTAAAACAAACGTTACTCATTACTCTTGGCTTTGGTTTAATGTTTATAAATGTTTATTTCACGTCATGTGCGCCATCCAACGCAGATCATTGGTGCCATCCACATCTAGTGAAAACTAATGTAATTGGATGAGTCATATAACGCAAACACTCATTGGTTAGCTAAAGGAAATCATCAGAGGCAAGCAAGTGTACTTCAAACTGCAAACATGAATTGTCTATGCCATGCTACAATGTCGGATTTAGAAAAAGATGTTAAAATGTCTGAAAGGTCGGACACAGGCGAGAGCGTATCGGGAAATGGAGACCAACCAGACCTCCCTCATCCTTGGCACTATCTAAAAAAAAAAATTCAAAATAGTCGAAAAATTGAGCTTTGAATTCATATAGTGGCATCTGGCTGTTTCTTTAAAGGTTACTTTATACTTTAAGTAGTTCTTGGAGCACATACTTTTTTCACTTTTACTTGAGTAAAGAGGTCAAGTTGATGCTTCAACTTTTACCAGAATGTTTTGAAACTGCTGTATCTATACTTCTACTTAAGTAATAAATGTGTTTACTTTTGACACTGGAGAAATTTACCTCTGCATTTAACCCATCCCCTCTGGGGAGCAGTGGTCTGCCATTGTGCGGCGCCTGGGGAGCAGTGTGGGGTTAAGTCTTGCTCAGGGACCCAGAGTGTCAGTCCGTGGGAGTTGGGCTTGAACTCAGAATCTCTGGGGGCCAAGAGCAATGCCCTAACCACTAGGCCACCACTCCTGTAGTCTACACCATGACAGGGTGACCAGAGGTCCCCGATTTCTGGGGAAAGTACCCATTTTGGACCACCTGTCCCCGGCTAAAGCTGTCCCTGGAAATGTCCCCGATTATACAGTTTACTGTTATTACGGTAGAAAAGCACCTCAGCATAGCAGGCAGAAACACTTATTACTTGCTGCTGTTAACATCAAGATCGGAGGTCTTCAACAGGGGATCCGCGACCCCCAGGGGGTCCACAGAGGTACAGCATGGGGGTCTCAGAAAGTTTTGGTTGATTAGACTTTTTTTGTTTATATCTTCCCCCCTGCAATTTTTCCATTAATTGAAATGTCTTTAAATACACATTAACATGAATTCAACACACGTAGTAAACAGATAAATGAAAGCAGAAGATGTCTTTCAGTCATCAATGCACACATTCAGCGACACACAGGAGCTCTTTCAAGCTGGGCACCGTTTCCTTCACAACACCTGTCCCATCAATGAGGAATCAGAATCAGAAATACTTTAATAATCCCAGGGAGAAATTACCTTCGTTACATTACTCCATCTGTAATAGAGTGACTATAGGACCAGTTTGATATAACGCAATTTCATACCATATATATAATTAGGGGTCCCTGCTCCATCTCACCATCAGTTTGGGGGTCCTTGACCTGGAACATTGAAGACCCCTGACCAAGATGATTAAAAGGGTGCAGCGCTTGTTGGACTGTAATGATCATTATGGATGTCAGCTGCCAGAAATAGAGCACAACACTTTTTAAACAGACCAAAGAGTAAAAGCAGAAGTTCATTATCATATCCCCACACAACTGATGGGGAGCTGCCCACTGATCTCTACTTATTCACTGGAATGCTGATTGAAAAGAAATTAAGCCACTGTCCGCCATGCTGGTACTCCCCACTCCCACTGAGACATGCAGTAAAAATACCTACATGTGTAGCATTTAGATGCAAAAACAAGCAGTCTGCCTGCTGTGTCCAGTTTTAAAAATAATCAATAAAAAGAAGTAAGGCAGGACCACGAATTACCGCTGGTATGAGTAAAATAGACTGATTGAAACTCCTTGTAATGCAATAATCTGGTTCGGTGGTTCTCCCAGGTTCAGCAAGAGTTCATTTAAAGATGTTTTTAGAACTGATTGGTGACCTTTAGTTTATATTTAAGAACCTTAATTATTATAAGTTTTTTTTTTCCAGATTTATGGTTGTGATTTATGAGCATATAGTTCGAGGTTTAGGTGTGCTTTTCTACTACTTAATTTAGATATAAGAACATTTCTGACAAAAAAAAATAGTAGCCAGTAAGAGGAAAACCCAGACACCATCTGCATGATCAGAAAATATCATGATACATTGGCAACGTTTAGATCTCTTACTCTCATTGTGTCATGGAGCATATGGCAGCGACCTGGTAATCCTGCTAATACCTTTAATCAAACCACTCATCTTAATGGCTGCTGTACAGCAGCAGTATGCTTAATACTACAGAAAAGTGTAGTGCAAAAACTAATAGCAACAAATCCCCTGATTATTGTAGTTTTTCTAGCCAGCTGAATATGAGCATTTCTCCCTCTCGAACTGGAACTGACTGGTGAATTTGTTTCTCCAGTTGGCACTAAAATGAAGTTGCATATTTTTTAATCTCTTAGGCTGATGGTGTCATGATGGTGAGTTCCACTTATTTCTCAGAAAGCAAATCCAGTTTTAAAACAGGATATTTTAAAGCATTTATTTATGCAGAGAAATTATCTCCTTAGAGCAGTAAAAATGAGATACGGTCTTTTTATAGTTTCTCAGGGAACTGAAAAAGAAAAAAAAACATGTTTAAGATGGAATGAATTCAAGGCCCTTAGAATTATTCAGTCATGGTTTCTATAAAACTCAAACACCTTTTTTCGTTTAAAAACAACTTAACACTATAAACAGATGAGTCAAGGTATTTATAAAATATACAAATATACCCTTTTTCTTATTATAGCAGACTAAATTGTTTTAGTCAAGTTAGAATGACCAAAATTATGTAATTACCTGCAAAGAGAGCGCAGTTACTGTTATGAAACTACTAAAAGACAAAAAAAAAAAAAAAGATTTTTGCAGATATATCACTCCGTCTAACAAAACCAGAACGTATTTGGTTGCTCCAACTGGTTGTTGAGTAGCAAAATGAGGAAATCTTGAGAGTGAATTGAGTCGTATAGTACGTTGTTGTGCTGTGAAAATATTCACAAAATTGTTGGTATAATGAAAAAAAAAAAAGAATATATGGAAATATTGAAGAAATGTTAATGACAACATCCAGAGATGTTGGGCACAATCAACCCATAGACGACAGGTTTGTAGCAGCAGACATTCCTGCAGTCTGCTGTGAACAGCCCATGGAGGGAGACCCCAAACATCTAGGCCAAGATTTAAACGTAAAACCTTCAAAGACTTCAGAATTTGAATAATGTTTCTAAAAACATTTATTATTCTGGCATTTAGCCATTAGAGATATTTACAGATTGATAGTTTGGCTAGGTTTTATTACAATCAGGCTGCAGAAAAAATAAAATAAAATAAACATATTTTGTAGGGCTGAAAGAATCAGATTCATCATGCTTAATTGATTATTGAAATAATCAACTAATTTAGTAATTGATTGTTAACTGGATAAGAGACTTTTAAACAGGCCTTTAGCTAACAGAGCAACCCACCTTGAGCAGCACTTATACCAAAATTGTAACGGAAATATTTAAACATTTTGCATTTAAGTTAAAAAAAAAAACATTTTCATCTGTCAATATGTGCGATGCAGAACTCCTCTAGAGGAAATGTTTTAGTTTCACCTGGTTTAACATCATAAAAAGACTCAAAGGAACCTTTGGTTGTCCGATTATTAATGGATTAATCGAAAAAATAATCAACAGATTCATTTGCAAAATAATTGTTAGTTGAAGCCCTATTTTGTTTATTAAACACTGTGTTGGGTTATAAAGAGGCATTTTTGTAAACAAAGACTTTTCCATTTGAGGGAAAAGAATGGTGTTCAGTCAGGACATTTCATCTGACCCAGACCCAGAAAAGATTTCAGGGTAATCCTATTACACCCCCCTGCAGGGATCTTCTACACTTCTTATTGCAACCAAAAATACACTCAAGTTTTTAACTTTTTCATTTAAAAAAGGATAACAGTTATTTAATTTACCCTCTCATAACCCTGGAGACTCAAAGAAAACCAACAAAGGGAACAAGGGCTGCTTTTCTCCTTCAGCAAGGCCTCACTTTGGAATTTACACGACAGCTGCAGCAGACTCCTTTATCGTCCGACTGCATTATTTTAAGTTGGGCAGAAGAAACCAATCACAGCTGTCAAGGTTGCAAACCGCTAGGATGTTTTATTAAGTGCATAAAGAGAGAAAGCACTAAACAACATTTACAGAACTTCAAGTTTTCACTGTAAGTGCAGGTTGCGGTTGATACCGATGTCATATTTAGAGCTTATAAAAAAACTGCGTTGACGTGGCATTGCTACACCTTTCTCACAATCTCTTGATTTGTCGAAGCTGCTGTCGGTCTCTTAAGGTCCCAAGAGTTCCCTTTGGATTGTGTTGCATCTCTGCCGCCAATAGGAATACAATATTAAACACAGCAGTAGTGTTAGCATGCAGTCAGTGTAGAGGACAGGTTCAGTCTTGTCTAAGGCAAGTGTATCTACAGAGCACACTCCCCGGCAGCTCAAAGTCTTTATTAATGTTGGATTTTTTTCTGCATTCACTGATGTCTGTCTTAAGTTGTGAGAAAGTGTGGACACCCTTCTTTAAATAGTTACTCTTATCATGCAACATGGCTTTCAGGTCACTGTACAGTTTTTTCTTTTTGTGTGTGTTTATATATATATATATATATTTATTTATTCTTTTACAGAATAAGAAGGTATCTCCACATAAAGACTGGAAACTACTTCCAGTCTGATAACAATACTTATAAAGTCACATCCAACATCCTGAGACTAAAAAAGTAGAACGGATTATATTTAGATCTGCAGTTAATAATTATAATAAAAAGAGAATCTGGGTAGATTTTAAATAATTCATAAAATCATAAGGGGAATGATTTGCACCTGCCTGCTGCTGGATTTAAGAAAAAAAATTATTTTTCGTCCTGAACAGTTGGACACTGACATAGTAGGATGGTTAAACTGTTAAAATGACATAACTTAGACGAACGGAGGCAAAAGCTGACTTTAAATCACTAACTAACTAGATATACCCGTTTAGATCCTTCCCCCCATATACAACATCCAGGGTGGGTATGGCAACTTGTTACTTTCTGCAGTAGCAAGTAGAAGAAGTTCCCCACATCAATGGCAAAGAAAAACAAAAACAGGATTAGCATCCGCACATAGAGATTGGTTACTGTTTTTAACCTTCCACCTGTCTGAAGGTAGACACACGCAACTTAAATAGAATAACTATTAACATGATCGGTCAGGCCTATCTGACCCCATGTGTGTCAGCCCCGTTTACAACGTCCCGTCGAAGCAACTTTTTAGGAAAATTCACTCAAAAATAGATGCGTCGAAACTTTAAATATAGCAAATACTTTTGTTTCTATTTTACTTCACTGACATCACAATACATAAGCAAATCCTACCAGCGAAAGAAACAAAGCCGTTTTGTATTTAATTTACATTTTTCTCTTGTTAAAGAAAAAGTGCTGCGTGTGGGGAGGGGGGGTGTGCAGAACAATCTGCAGGAGCTGGAAGCAGCTTCCTTCACATACAGGCAGGGATCTGCTCCTCCAAATGCATCAATCTAAAATCTCCTTCTTCATTGGTGTACTTGTGCCGCTGACTTCGCACGAGTGGGTTCAGGTGCAGAGACTGTAGCTTCGGCAGCATCGCTGAATGAACTTCCTGTTGTTTAACCTCCATCACAGTTTATCAGGGAGCCCGACATGCAGATTGAATTACTCATCACTCTAATTCACTTTGCCTCCCGGCCTTCCCTCTGTGCCCGTCTCGGTTTGTTCCCTTCAGAGTGATGCTTCCAGGTGGATGGACTGCAGACAGCCCAGCAGCTGGTGATAGGGGCTCCCCGGAGAGGCCACTGTCTCAAAGACAGACTGAAAAGCCCTGCGGTCCAGCTCCTCGTCGATCTGGTGTCTATAGAAATCCATGGCGACCAGGCAGAACAGGTTGACGTCCACTACGTCACTGGAGCCCATCCGGCTGATCACATGTGGAAGGCTAGTTAACAGACAGGGGGGTTAAGGAAAACAAAGCAGATCTGACCAGCAGGGACTGATCTTTGCTTAACTAATCCGTGGTAAATCTGGAAGAAGGCGGTTTAATTATTTAATGCAGTTAGGAGGAGGTACATTATATTATCAAACCCACTTTTTCCCCCCAGTAATGAAATCACCAAACAAATAACTAAATGAGAAAGTCATGTGGGTGTGACACAAAGCTCAACCCTGACATAAGCTAAGCAATAATACTGGCTCTACTTTCTCTAAATTAATGAGCCTCTACTTCACCTGTACGCATTAGATTAGTTAATGCTACCAGATATAACAAGATGTTTCTATTATAACGTTCCTGCATCGTAGTTCTTCTCAATAAAGAGCCACGGAAACCTGACTTTTGTCCGGCTGTGTAGAAGCATTGCGTAACACAGCAGCACTGCCTCCTTCTGCCTATAGTTGCACATTGCTACTTAGTGGGCCAAAATAAGACCCCTGCAGTTTTCCATTACAAGAGAAAAACAGAAAAAAGAAGAAAGTTAAACCAAAGGAACACTAGACGGTTTATCACCTCCTGGGAGGCTGCAGTGAAAATGGAACAGCTGTGCAGCTGTGGATGATTATAGGTTTGTTTGTGTTTGCACTCTTCAAGTAGCTCACATTCACAGAAACTATGTTTCCAATGCAGATGATTGCAAAACTATGTTGATTTTCTGATATCCGAAATGCAGAGTTTCAAGATTATTTCCATTAAATAAATACAATTAAATTTGCACGTGAATATGCTTGTTAACACGATAACTGAAAACAACATGGCGGTGGTGGATGTGATATATCCATATTTCAGCCACGGTTCTAGCGGGCGCTATCATCCTCCAACAGCTCATCATCCCTTAAAAAGGCAGTAAGGTTAATTTCAATTCAAAATTACTTTATTAATGCCAAAGCAAAATTAAATAAAATGCTGCATATAAAACTAAAAGTTGCAGATCACGTGACTCCTGTGATGCAACCAAAACAAAAGTGTTCCCTTTGCGGTTTTTCCAAATATAAGTTTTGATACGAGTAAAAAAACACCTCTTTGAAGCGTGAAAACATGTTATGGAAAAACAGGAGTTTTTTCTAAATAAGTGTTCTGAATTAGCCAACTTATTTGTGTAATTACAATCTGCACATTTTGATGGTTAATGAAAACGCAACTAGAGGCAGGCAGGTATGTTCAGAGCGTTACTCTGTAACCTGGGCACCTTCTGTATCAAATACATTTTAATTTACTTTCAGCTAAACCTTATAAAATGTGTTGTCTCTGCTTAAAGTGTTGGAAGTGGAAAAGGTAAGAAAATAAGATTTTTATTTTAATTCTCTTAACAAAGATTGATAAAAGTACAGATTTATGTACTGGTTAAAAGACTGAATATTAAGTAGTTGATTCTTTCCAGGGCTGTTCAGTGCTATGCTGTCTTATCGCCATCATTTAATCCACATAGTGGTTTCTCTGTTTTTGGATTTTTCGGCACTAGTGACTCGTTTTCGCAAAGTAGGCTGAAAGGAAAGGGGGTAAAAAAAGAGGGGGAGAGACATGCAGCAAAGAACCACAGGCCGGATTCGACCCCGGGTCAGCCGCACTGAGGACTAAGTCCTCTGTATATGGGTGGTGCGCAAACCAATGCACCTCCAAAGCACACCCACTGTACATCAGATTTGTCTTCATGCAAAATGACCTCCTTTCATTATAAGGGGTTGTGTTCTCCATCAGACAGTAGTTCCTCCATTTGAATGTGTTCAAAAAAAAGATGGCAGGCTGTAAAAATCTAATGTGACAAGTGTCAGAATGTTCTCGCAGCAGTGCTAATTATCAAATACTCACTGGGAGGAAATAGAAAAGGACAATCACTGTTTAATTCAGCTGAATTTACCCCTAAGGTAAGGATACAGGGCAGATATCCACTGGGAGGTGGAAGCAGAGACGAAGAAGCAGGACAGACTCCACATGGCCATGGCGACCGGTGTCCTCTGTGTGAAGTTGGACAAAGACAGCAGCACCCAGTCACGCACCATGGAAGACTGGCCCGTAGCATGGAGCGTCTGGAATACCTGGGCAATCAAACATAAAGAAAGTGTTAGTGAGAAAGAGCAAAAGAAGAGAATACATACTGTACCTGGGTGTTAAATGTGTGTCAACTGCACCTTGAAAAAACTTAAAAAAACTAAGCTAAAGAGGATTTCTGGAGACAAAACTTGGTGTGTAATAAAATACGTTTGAATCCTAAATACTTTCTGACCAAAACAGATATGATTAAACACATGTTTGTCGTTATGTTCGGTCACTGACCTTGTAGACAACAGTGGCCATAAACTGGGGGTATGGCTGCTGATTGGAAAGGAACTCTCCGATGACTTTGTTCATTACGTCCTGCGGCGGAAAGAAGTCATCTAGAAACTGGGGTAGAATCCTGGACACAACCCGAGCCTCGCTGGGTAAACCCTTCCTGATCCTGAAGGAGCAGAGACAGGTGGATACACTATTAAGAACTAGCAGCTTCTCTGGACACAATCTTCATCTCATGGCAGCTCAGTTTGAGACGTATTTGATCAAAACACCAATCATGTATTTCACAGTAAGTGGTAAATGAAGAAGCTTTACCTGTCGAAGAGCACAGAGACCCTCTCCATGGCAACAATGACCGACTCGCTGTCCGGGGCCTGTGGGTCTGAGTGAGGGGGGCGGCTGGCGGGGCTGGCTTTCTCCTTGCCTGAGGAGAAACCAACATGACCCGCCGTGACGCCAACCGCCTCCGCAACAGCACAGTCAACCTGACCTCTAACCCCTGTCGCATCTGAACCCGACGCGAGCACCGCTGAGGGCGAGAGGGATGGGTGGCACCGGTTAACACCGGGAGGGGGGACAGGTTAGAGAGCGGATCGCAAATGCCAGCATTTGACAGATATATAGATTTAATTTTTCATAACAGAAGAGAAGAGAATTTTTAGGAACATTATTTTTGGAAAATATCAGAACTGAACTGAAGCTAAAACAAAAAAAGTAGTTTCTTTCATAGATATGCCTTTATTACTGCAGCATTACTTCTCTTGAAATTTGGTCACTTTGTTATCGCAATCTTTAATGCATTTTATTCAGATGTTATGAGATATTCCAACACTTAACCCATCATTGTAATAAAATTAAAACAAACCATGGTTTTATTCAAATGTTTTATCATAAATATGAAAGACATTCAACTTCCCTGAATTTAAAATCTGTATCAGCTTAACTTAAATACAGCTGATCTCTTAAATAAAGTTAATTAAATTAATGTCATCTGATTACAAAACAAAAGAAAACTTGGTTGTTTTTATTTTTGTTTTGTAATTTGAGAACCATGAATCATTTTCCTGTGTTGGACTATATACCTTAAAGGAATAGTACACCCAAAACATGATTAGCCTTCATTTTCTACTCACCCCCATGCTGAACAACACTCTGGAGTACTTTTTTGATATCTCAAATGCATCTGGAGATCTGGGAGGCTTCTTGCTGTCTGCTGACATTCAAATAATGGAGGTGCCCAGCGCCCGAGACAGAAAGGTCCATAAAAGTCCACAAAAAATGTTTCAATATTCCTCCATACTGCTCGTCCAATGTATTCCAAGTTTCCTGAGTGGGTAGCATCCAGAATTTACTTGAAACGAAGTCATTTAGAATGTTTTTAGAGCATAAACAGTAGTGTATAGGATTTCCTGAAAGCGCGCACCTGCGCGCTCACGACGCTACGGAAGCCGGCAGACCAAACCAGCGCATTCAGCTCGGCAAAGAACTCATGCTCTTCCTCAACACTGAAGTCCTCAGACATTTTTCTTTCGTTGTTTCTTTCTTTGCACAGGTAAACAGCACATTTCTTCTTCTACGCTTGCATTATTGGAAGAGCAGATGCTGAATGCGCACTTTCATCTGGTTTGGTCTGCCGGCTTCCGTAGCGTCGTGAACGCGCAGGTGCGAGCTTTCAGGAAATCCTATACACTACTGTTTATGCTCTAAAAACATTCTAAATGACTTCGTTTCGAGTAAATTCTGGATGCTACCCACTCAGGACACTTGGAATACATTGGACGAGCAGTATGGAGGAATATTGACACGTTTTTTGTGGACTTTTATGGACCTGTCTGTCTCGGGCACCATAGACCTCCATTATTTGAATGTCAGCAGACAGCAAGAAGCCTCCCAGATCTCCAGATGCATTTGAGATATCAAAAAAGTACTCCAGAGTGTTGTTCAGCATGGGGGTGAGTAGAAAATGAAGGCTTATCATGTTTTGGGTGTACTATTCCTTTAAGTCACACATAACGAGCTAGTCGTTGTCGTGTAACAAAGTGTGTAAAACGTCACTGAGTCTGAATACTTTTCCAACAAACAGCACAAAGGAACCAGAGAGCAATAAGAATTTGTAGGAGAGTATAGTCTCAGAATCTACAGGTTTGCCCCGGACAAAAGAGAAATGTTTGTGCCTTTAGCGCAAAATATATAATGCTAAAAGTTTATACAGTTAGTAGCCGAGGGGTTAGAGGTAGGATTTATAAGAGGTACAATAGCTAACACATGCAGGCAGCAAACAGTATATTTAACAGTCTATGAAGCAGATGATGATGATGATGATTTGCTTCTAATGGTTAAAATACTAAAGATTGTTTATATACAGATGAAGGTGCAAAGCTGAGAACATGCACTGAAGAATGGAAGATGAATACAATGAATATGCATGTAAAGCAGCTAAGAGCAATAATACATTCTGAAATAATTGTTGAAAGTTTAGCAGAATTATAAATATACTTTATAGTCAAACATCAGCTCATATTCAACTCATAATTAGGCTGTTATGGAGAATGGAGCAGTGGAAGGATCTGCATGCTATTAGTCTAATGAAATGTGTAGCAGGAATGTGTTAGAGGCTCATCAGGGCAGACGGTTCGCTGGCTGGTTTGCTGCACCGCAGCAGCAATGGTAGCATCGGTCATGTATTGCAGTGCTGACGTTAGCCGTCGTGTCAAAGCCTTGCTTACCAGTGTACATGCAGGTGAGCATGAGGCCCAGAGCAGCCATGGCTCGGTGAGGGGACGGCATGTTGACTCGGTCCACGCTGAGTTTGACCAGGGCTTCGCCATCGACGCGGGAGAGCTGCTCTGACAGCAGGAGGCGCTCCAACCCCCGCAGAACACAGTGATAGATGATGGAGGGAGTGGAGTCCTCGCTGGCTGACACCATCACGCCACATAACTACACAGGACAGGAGTCTTACAGGGAAACAGCTTTCATTTCTTTTCAATACATGGAGTGAAATGCTTTGAAGTCTGTGGGAGGTTGGCTTGGTTCCTGAGTTACTAACTCAGTTACTGCTCAGTGAAAGTAACTAGTTACTAGCCAAAGTAGCTATGCAGTTACATTTTATGAGCTAATTGTCGAAGAATTTGGAACTTTGCTGTTATTGGAATTCAAATGCATCTAGAGGTTCAATTATGGAATACAAGGTGTTTGTTATTACCTCCATCAAGGGGGTTTTGTTTTTAGGAAAGTTTGTGTGTTCGTCTCTCTTGAAAAGTTATGGGTTGATTTTAATGAAATGTTTATCACAGGTGTCCCTCATCAAAGGAAAAATACATTAAAAGTTGATGATGATCATAATCTGGATACAGGATTTTGTTTCATTTAAAAATAATCCAACATTGTGAGATATATTTGTCAAAACAAGCAGTTCCCCACTTAACCAGGGGGTGGCAGCAGTGACTATTGGCATCCTCAGCGTCAGACTCAAAGGCTATGTTCACACTGCAGGCCTTGATGCTCAATTCCAATTTTTTTTGTGAAATCCGATTTTTTTGCGTCGCCGTTCACATTTCCAAATATTTGCGACTTCTATGTGATCTCCTGTGTAAACTGCAGTCATACAACGCAAGTGTCCCGCATGCACAGTAGAGGACGCAATGACGTGTTTACGGAAGTAAACATGGGGATGGTAGTGCCAGAGCACATTTAGCGATCTTTCCCAACCATAAAAACACAATCTTTTCAAGATGGTTAAACATAAAAACTGCTCCCGCATCATTGTCTGCCAAGGTTGACGTTTTCTTGCCGCTTCTTCATAGGAGGACCCAGAATAGTGACCTTTGTCGGGTATTAATGGCGTTCAGGTCGGATGAATGCAACCTGGCCGTTCAGACACAGGTCGCATTTGAAAAGATCAGATTCATATCGGATTCAGGACCACACAGCCAAGTGGCCTGGGTCATATTGGGAAAAAAAATCGGATCTGTTTTGTTCAGACTGTCATGAAAAGATCTGATCCAGGTCGCATATGGGCCAAAAAAGCAGATTTGGGTCACTTCAGGCTGCAGTGTGAACGTAGCCAAAAAGTCTGGAGGTATTTTACTGAACAGAAAAACACAAGAGAAAGTTGTTGGTTTGTAATTTATACTGAGCTTCCTTCACAAATAACATGACTGCTGTATGGGATTTAATTAGGGGCATAAACTAAAGAAGGTTGGATATAAATGTGAATAACAGGCTTGAGACATGAAAAACTACGGATTGATGATTGATCACAAAGGATCCTTATAAACACATTAAGGTCTTTTGTTAAAGCGTGATCAAATGTAGAGAAGTTGTAACCTTGCCTGGTAGCTGAGGTCTCATGGTATTTGTGTCACAAACGCATGTGAGTTTAGATTAATCATGCCCTAAACCTGAACTAAACCTGATCGCCAGGTTAGAAAAGTTCAAAGGGAGTTTCAATCCTTTTGCACCAGAAAGGTTTAATACATAAAAACAGAACTGTTAATCAATCTTATCTTACCTGTATAACTGCAGCCATGAACTCGGCTCCAACATCCAGAGGGTAGTTCTCCATCATATAGAAGGCCACCGCACACATCACCAACACATGCTGCTGGTTATGCAGGTTCACACAGCTGCAGAACACAGACACGAAGCCAGGAGATGGAAATTACAGCTGCCATGCATGTGAAATGTCAGCAGAGTTCTTGCTTCTATTAATTTGATAAAGTGGATTAAAAATTGGATTCAAAAATGGATCCTCTTACATTGCAGAGGAGAGTTATTAACAGTGACATTAAACACAGTGACTCACTAAGGGTCTGTCATCACCGTTTAAACTCATTAGAGATGAACTGAGGTCAGTGTCTGTGTGACTGAGAGACACTCACTGAGCGATCGCCCGGAGGTTTGACAGAAGGTACTCAGAGACTGTGGGGATGAGCTGCTTGGCTGTGTCATCCAGCAGGTCACACTCCAACACATAGAGCACCCCGTGCAGGGCCCCCATGCGGCTGGGCAGGTGAGTACTCCGCAGGGTCGTCTCCAACAGACGACACACAGGCTCAGCTATCGCTTTATCCTGCAAATGTTTAGGCAAATATTAGAGGTAGTTGTTGACGGTAGTTTAAAAAGGTCTGCAGTGTTCCACTTGTGTGTTTTCATCGACAAGTACCCGGAAGTCCCAATAATATAGCATAGTTCTGAGAAACTGTCCCCACAAGGAAATAAGTGCATGTCTCACTCACCATGCCTAACACAGCAGCAGCCTTACAGATGGCGGGCACAAGGTACTGATTCAGGATCTCGTCTTCAGGTGGATGAAGCTTCTGGAGTTCCATCAGAGTGGAGAACATCATGTCAAACTGGTTCCTCTCTGTGAACAGGTCCGATACCGCCAGCAGCTAGAGACAGAGAGGTGTCTGATTAGAGCCTGGAGAGGCGCATTCCCACGAGCTACAGGCACATCTCAGTCTGTTAAAATGTAAAACAAGTGTTCAAATGATCAACAAGCATTTGTTTTTGCTCATTTTGATGAATTTCCCTGGAGAGCTTCTAGCAGCTAGAAAAATCACTTTCTCAAAGTTAAAAAATCACAAATAACCAATGAAAGATTTTTTGTTCCAGGAACTTCAGCCAACTAAAAATGTCTGTGCATATCCTGTGAAGTACATGCACTTCATACTTGGCTGGGGTTTCTCCTGGATGACGTGGACTGGCATTGAGCAGGTATAGTTACTCGGAGCAATGATACTAAGTCCAGCTGGAAAATGAAAGTATTATCCTGATAAACTTTTCATCACAGATAAGGATGAAATGTTCCAACATTGGCAAACACAGCAGCTGGTGTGGTACCCTTAAACATCGCCAACCTGTAAACTTCAACTTTACCTTGGATTAGGAGTCTCTCCCCTCATCGCCCAGACTCTGGGACTTTGATTTTCAATTTTAATTCAAAAGCATTTCTCCTCAGCCTTAGGTCAGAGGCCTTTGACTTGCTGTCTGGTTCAGGTGGTTTAACATCAAGGATTCATCAGCTGTATCCCTCATCTGGGATATTTCTGTCATGTGCTGTAGCTCCTGAATCTATGACCACAGCTACTGAACAAAATTTGCAAATATCCCCCAAACTTTTTAAATGGGAGTTTGCTTCAACATTTTAACCTGGTATTTTCCCACTTTTTCATTCCACTTAACTTTCCATAATATGCCTTAAAACACAGGTCTAAATAGTCAACTTTATTTAGTGGTGACCGTTTGTACTTCACCTGTTGTGTCTGAATTAAAAACCTGTGTTTTAATGGTCATTTTTAATGGTATTTTACTTGATACGATCAAGTAAAATGATACGACTGGCATAAAATTAAATACAAATAGCATAAAAAATAAAACAACAAGCCAGTCCCATCTAGGCGTAATCGGAGAAAATGACAGACAAAGTGTGCTCCTGATGTCCAGTCTGCTCCGTAGCTTTGTTTTGGTCGCTGTAACCGCAGAAAATCCCGCTTCACAAAGATAGGATGTTATAGATAGGATGAGTCTTGAACTGAATTAACCTGTTTCAAGAGGCACAGATGCACCGACTGATGTAATTGGGAGAGAATACTCCAATTTTTTATATTTATCAAAACATCACTCAGAGTCTCTTCGTCGATGTTTTCTGTGCGGCCCAGTACCAAATGACCCACGGCCCGGTACCGGTCCGCGGCCCGGTGGTTGGGGACCGCTGGTTTAAAGAGCTCTTAATAATCCTCTAATGAACTGGTTTTAATCAGCGGTGAGCTACAGTCTCCAAACTTAAAACCACACCCTTCAAACATATTATTCTGTTTAATGCATTTAAATAAGAGTTGTCCATGGAGTAACTGAAACTAACTTGACATTTTCACATTTTTAGATTTACTAGTATGCAGATAAGCCTTTTTTTTAACTAGTCTTTATTTTCAACATTGAACCAAACTGTGTAAATGTTAATGTGTCAACAGACATTTAAGCAGAGACAGTGGACTATTCTTTCATTAATGTCAATATAGGCCCGGGCAAAAAAAAAAAAAAAAAATTCGATTAAATTAATTAATTAGAATTTTTTGTTGCGGACAAATTTTCTTTTTTATAACACCGCATTTTTGGCACCTCTGAGTTTCTGTAGCTGCAGTATTACCCTCTGGTTGCAGTTTGGCTAGCGACAGCGTCACACAAAACAGCAAACGACATCATAACTACTGGTGAGTGAGAACTTTGTTCTCAAAAAAAGATAAAATCATCTGTTGTTTGGAAGTGCAGTGATTAAAGTTCTCGGGCATAGTGGCAGATTTCCGGCATGTGGCATCCGTGGTTGGGGATTTATTTTGGGAGGGGAAAATAAACTTGTCAATGTGAGTTTCATAGCAACACCAGTGATAATGCTGACTGCTACCCAAAAAGAAGTTTAGTAGGAGGATGGAGGATGGGAGCGGGAGGTCAGTTACATGAGCCAGCTTCAGCCAAGATAGCAGAAACGGCAGTGAATAGCAGCTTGTAAACATTAGCAACAGGCAAGGTTAACAGCGAGGGAGGAAGGCTGGCGAGTTTATTTAGATGCGCTGTGTTAGAAGAAATGGGGTTATGCATTGAAATGCACATTTTAAAAGGGTCAGAAAAGATTTCCAGTCAAGATAGCCAACAAGCTAGTTGTTAACAGAAGCATGGCTGCCAATAGCATGGCGTGGTAGTGATGTGCCCCCCCGCATAGGGGACTTATTGCTTTCCTTAATAATTGGGGGATCAGAGAAAAACGTAAATAAAAAAATCTGAGATTTTATTTTCAGGCCATATCGCCCAGCCCTTATGTTAATAGTCCTGTAACCAGCTGTTAAGGTGATTTCTCTAGCTTACCGATCGGACGACTTCACTGATGAGGATGGTGGGCGTCCTCCTGTTACCGGGAGAGCCTGGGATCAACCACTGGCTGTAGAGTTCCAGGAGAAACTGAGAACATGAATGAATATCCACGCCTGCACGGTGCTTCCTGAAAATACAAAACAGAAGTAAATGGCCCAGTCCCATTTCTCTCACTTGCACTCATTTTGGACCCTAGCACTCCGTTTTGCACATTCACTTGTAAGGTTAGTGTGTCCCAATAATTTTAAGAGCTAGGTCCCTTGGTCGGATCAGCCCCATGCTGGATCTCACTGGCTGCGTGGGGCTTGGGTGTCTGGTTTTTAATCAACTTCTCCGCGGTATGATTATGCACGGGAGCTTTTGACAAACTGATCTTATGACCATTCTATCTGGACACATGGAATTGCAACGGTCACTATAGCAGCATAGATGGTACAACGTTATGCATAATTCTCATCGCACTTTTTTTTTACGGCACAGCACCAGACACACGGTAACTACACAAAAAAAAAGGCAGTAGATTTACAAACACAATGATGAGTGCATTTGAGGACGAATAAAGTTGTGAGGGCTTTAAATTTTTAGATTAATTTGGTATTTGGGGTAAATGAAGGATCAGTTTCCAGCATATGTTAACTTAAGAGTTGGTTTGTTTATTGTTGATATGATTTGCAGATTGGATGTATTTTTTTAGTTCAGTATCTAAAGCAAATAAAGAGGGTTTTGTTTTATTTAATATACTTCTATGAATGTGAAATATTCCAAATAATATGAATAGATTAATTTGTTTTGCCAGTTCCTTGTTTAGGTGTGTAAAAAAGCGACAATGCTATGGCCAGAGAGGGTTATACTGGAGTTTATTTTTTCTGCTCTATCGCTTGAAGGATGTGGTTACAGGACGTGTGAAGAATAGGTGAGGGGTAATTTCAGGTTCAATACTGCAGAAGAAACAATTTGGATTTATTTCAAGATATTTCGCTATATCATCATTTGTACGATAGATGTCAAAGAATTTTGAAATTAATTTCACGCATTTTATTGTTAATGGGATACTGATGAGGTAGAGATCCATGATTTGCCTATTCTATTCTGGTCTATTCTACTAAAAAAGGAATTCCAGTAGAATTTGCCTCTTGGTTGGAGGTATTTGGATTGTTGAAATGTGTCGCGTATGAGTTGGTTATTATATTTAGTGCCAAGAAAATACAGTCTGTTGAGAAAAAGTTTGATGGTCACAGTTGGAGTAAACTGTTATGATTTTAATAATTGTTAGAGTCCATTGGGGATCCACTGTATAATTGATATGTATTCCTAGTATCTTATTAGAAACTGATATTTCATCAAACAGTTGTAGCTAATTATATTACCATGATTGTCTATTAATTTAGAGATAGTTGTGATAACTTTATTTCTCCATGCTGGCTAATAAATTGACTTTTTACATTTGGTAATATATTTGTTGTTCAATATTATGCATGTGTTTGGTGAAAGAGTATTGCAGAGTTTCCATGCAGAGGTTTGTGACTCAGGTTGTGTTTACCCATGATGTAGGTGAACACATAAGGCAATTTATTACTGCCATCTACTGGGCTAGGATGTTATTTTACAACTAGTGGTGTCCCATTTTTAAAGGAGAAAATCTTCACTTGCACTTCCCTCACTGAGTGGACTTCACTGTGGAGGGAACTCACTGCAGTGTTCTCAGAACCGAGCGAGAGAAATGGGACTGGGCATATAATATCTATCAAGAGCTCTTGGTTATACTTTAGTGTTGTAAAATTCGGTCCTTACATACATGGAAGTAATGCAGATTGGACTGACTAACTGGATGAGGTCTGACCTTGAATTTATAGGTGATAAAGGTGGAGAGGCAGGTGCCGGTGTGTCTGCTTCATCTTCTTCATCCTCACCCCACTCCTCCTCCCTAAGAGGAGTGATGTTATTACCCAACCAGACTGAATGGATGGAGACCTGGTGACACATACGTCAAATAAAACACACATTAGCAATGGATCTTCTGCCTCAGATATTAGCGTCCAACTATTTCCTTCTCACACCTGCCCCAGTTTGTAATCCATGTTTCCCAGCTCCCTTTCTGTGTTGATCTGAAGCAGCAGCTTCTCGTGGCTGATCAGCGTACCTGCTGAGACAAATAAGGTGCCAAAACTAACCTGACACTGCAAAGCGCAGGATTAAACCAGTCCAGTTGTTACCTGCAGAGGCTGCTGACAGTGAGGGCACAGGGTCCCAGGCGTGGTATGGGTGGTGTGTGCTGACATTGTCCCTCTTTGACACTAGAGCCTGAATCTCTCGCTCTACTTCCCCCCGAATGACAGCGAGTTTCCTTCCAAACCTGAACAGAGGGAAACAGTCATCAATAATCTGCCTAATCTTTAGGTGGCTGTTATTAGAGGGATAAAAACTGCATCTCTACCGTGTTTCCAGAGCTTTAAGGCTTTTGTTTCGGGGCTGCTGTTCCAGACAGCTGACCGCAGGGTTGCCAGCAGTGGGAAGGGTCATGGCACTCAGCACCAGGCTGGTGATAGCCTGCACTGCTAACACATTTAACTGGGTACGCTCCAGGTCCTCCTGGAAAAACGGAGAACGGTGGTATGAAAGACACATATGGGATTAAAAATATTTTTTTTTCACTCCAATATGATAAAAAAAAAAACTTTTTCTAGTGAGACTTAAAAAATTATAACCATTTTCTATTTTTTTATATAATTTTTATTATATCATGATCACAAACTTTGAAGTTCCATAAATGTATCTTATGTAAGGAACCCAAAATAAATTTCCAAGTGAAATGATATAAATCGCGGTCTAAATCAGGCATCCCCAAACTCGGTCCTCAAGGCCCCCTGTCCTGCAGGTTTTAGAGGTTTCTTTGCTCCAGCACAGCTGATTTTAATTGAAAGCTGATTAACAGGCTTTTGGTCTACTGCAATCATTATAACCAGCTGTGCTGAAGCAGAGAAACCTCTAAAACCTGCAGGTCAGGGGGCCTTGAGGACCGAGTTTGGGGATGCCTGGTCTAAATAATATCACCACCATGAAAAAATGGTGGCAAATACTGACTGCATTTCACCAAAACCCACCAAGAAACACAGGGATTCATGCTGGGGGTTTCTTTCCTTTAGCAGGGACAGGAAAGCAGGTCAGATGTCAGGGCACATATTTTGCTTTTTAATGTCCTCCTTTTAGTTTACTTCTTAGTACTTTATTTTTTTCTACCAATATTTTGGTATTATTTTGATTTTCCTCTGCACCAACCAAAGTCATGTAGAGGTTTGACTGCAGGGTTTCACTGTTTTCATCAAAAGCTTGTATACGGTCCATTAAGGCAGGACTTTACTGTTACTGTTAGGTAGAAAAGCGTTTACTTCTATTCATTTGCATTGATCTACACTCTCGCTACAACGCCCTCTTCCCTTCTATGTAGCAGCAGACCCACACTGGGAGTATTACTGCCACCTAATGGCCCACAGTTGGAAAGTCAGGGTCTTATGCTACATTCAGACCACATGCGATAGAAGCACCTGAAGCTGCTAGTTTACATGCAAAGTCTATGGTTGGCTCGCATCATGGCACAGCAAAAGGACCTGCAGCGTGTTTTGAGCAGCACATCTTGACGCATCTGAGCAGCGCCTCATGAGCTTCTGAGCATTTCAGTCGTGTGTCATGCTTCACAGGCAGCAGAAGCTAGAGTTGGAAAAATTTAACTTTTGCTGCTCGACGCGCCACATCAACCAATCAGAGAAGCTGATCTGGGAGCTGGCAGGAGGACAGACACAGCACTACTGACACAGATCGCTATGATCACTCCACCGAAACAGTTTATTAACCCCTAAATTAACTTAAAATGTTGAAGCCTGCCAGCAAAATATTTATAATTCTGGTGCTTGCAGTTTGGATCACATACATGAAAACCGCTAACATCTACTTCCTGCCTCCATGAACAGTAGAGGAAAACCCAGAAGAAGCCACTGGGACAGAGGCAGCTGTTGAAGGGGATTCCTAGTGACAGAACATCGCCGGTATGTGGGGGTTTGGGTGGCTCTGACAGCAAAATAATATTTGAAGGCAGGATCATAATCTTGATGAACTGACTGCACAGATGAAGCTTTGAGGTTGACTTTCTCACCTAAAAACATACCTAACTACTTTTTACCCACTTATAACAGCAAATATAGCAAAGCAACTCTCTGCCACTGAACACAGGAGCAGCAGAAGCATCACATGCATCTGTACACGCTTTACTGGACTTCATGTGTACAAGCATTTCAAAATGAAGCAACAGGTGCTTTTTGTTGCTCAAATTGTGTGAAGAGGAAAAATAGCATTACTCCTGTTAAATGCGAAGTGACCAAAACAGTGCGTCTCTGCAATTTTAGAATTACCTTTTGGTAAACTGTGATCATATTGCAAATGCAATTAATTGCACAGCAATATCCTCAGCTAGAGATATCTTAGAAGAACGGGCGAAAAATATATTTTATTTTAAATCAAATCCAATGCGTTGTTTTCGTACTCTCTTTCACATAAAATCCCAGTAAAATACATTCAAGTAACTAGTTATAAAAAAACTGTATATGGTTAGTGATGAGATTTAAGGTTAGTTTTTTCCAGCTGCCATGTATACGGACCTCTTGTTGCGTCTCTTCTTCTTGGTCCATGGTGATTGGTTGGGTAACCAGCACCCCTAACAGAGTAGCCCAGGTCTCCTCAAACTGAGTCCTGCTGCTCCAGCCTTCAGACAGAGCAAGCACAGTCCATGTTATTGACAAAAAGTTAACATTAGGTTAGACGTACCTTGAAAGTTATTTCAGAACAATAAAATAAAAATGTGTCATTATTATGCTGGAATGCTTTATATTAAACCAAGTATATTATCCAACGGTGCATTAGCATCTCTGTACCCAAGGTGTTGATGCGGTACAGGAATTCCCTGAAGACATCCTTTTCCTGTAGGAAGTCCACAGGGATCTCTGGGAGCGTAGTGCCGAATTCTCCTCCTGCCTGAGGGGACCAGCCCAGCTTCCATACCTGAACACAAACACATCTATTAATACCACATATTCCCATTTAGTTATGGATCTGAACCACAAACGCTGCTTTTTCTCTTTCAGAAACCAACCAGTGGAGGTACTCTTGTGTAGCTGTTGACCAGTGGCAGACGTGAAATGCTGATGATGATGTTTCTTAACGTCGGTGTGAGGAAAACGGGAAATGCAGAGTTTTTAGGGTGACCCAAGGAGAGGACGCTCTGCAGTCCTTCCACCAGCTCTGCCATGATCTCACATGCTCGCCACTCACACTCATCTGTAGCAGACACATTGTTACTTAGAAAAATAAAAGATGGGGAACAAAGAACGCCAACGAATAAATATTAGCATGTCTGAAATGATTCTCACTGTTAGGATGGGCTGAGTCCAGCTGATCTTCATCGTCTCTTTCTCCTTGAGCTTTTTTCTTCTCTGAAGGCAGCAGCCGCTCACCGGGATGCACAGCCACTGGGAGGCAAAATGAACAAGTAGCAGAACTTAAAATATAAGATTGTTGCAAAGTTTACATAATCTGTGAGAGAATGCAGCCAGCATAGCTTTCCTTACCAGCAGCGATGATGAGGTGTAGGCAGTAGATGAGGGAGCAGGTGTGTGTCTTGTACTCGAAGGTAGAGAGCTTGTTCCACACACAGGGCTGCTGCAAGGCCAGGCACAGACAGGAGAGAGCCCACTGTAGGTCCACACTCAGTGGCAAGTGGTCCTGAAGCAGCCGCCATACAACCACCTGGACAAAGAGATGATTTGAGATCATTTTCATTTCATAATGCTAATTTAAATGCTGAAAAGACTTTATGAAAACTAATCCATACTGCAGATTTAATGTCTTAATCAAATCCGACAGCAAACAAAAGAACCCTTTAGAAGTTCTCCAGAGGCTTTCTAACACCCGGCGTGTGTCGTGTTTTACCTCTGCAGCCGTGCAGGTGAAAGACGTGATGAGGTGCTCCTTGTCAGAGGGAATATGTAGTGATGAAGGCAGCTGATTCACACTCAACAAATACTGGGACAAAGCCCTGCACAGCGCCAAAACCCTGGGATAGAAACCCGGCTCATCTGAAAATAACACAACAATCATTGCTTTTTCAGTGGTTTTGACATAAAATAATAAAAACTGGGTATATTATTATCAAACCTAAGACTATCTTCATCTTCCTTATCAATGCTATTAAAAATCAAGATTTAATTTATTGTGATCTTATTTTTTACTGTTTCACTATGAAAACATGGACTTTCTTTATTCATAAAAACACTACTACCGTATTTTGGCGACTATAAGGCGCATATAAACGTCTTTTTTTCCCCTCTTTTAGTCTTTTAGTGCGGTGCGCCCTATGTGTGTTGTTACTGCGGACGTTGTTGAGACCACCATGAGAACGTTAAAGGGGGAGGTGTGGACAGAAACTGCCGCCTATGGTGATTTTTAAGAGAAAGACTTTGCCTAAAAAGACTTTTCCAGCTGGAGTCGTTACTAAGGCAAATGAAAGGGCTGGATGGATGAGGAGATGATGAAAGCGTGGCTGAGGGAGGTGTATGTAAGGAGACCAGGTGTTTTTTTCCACACATCACCATCGCTGTTAATCTGTGACTCCATGCGTGCCCATCTCACAGCCGATGTCAAAAACAAGGTGAATCAATGAACGCTGTGCTTGCCGTTATCCCGGGGGGTCTGACAAAGGAACTTCAACCACTCGACATCAGTGTGAAGCAGCCGTTCAAAGTAAGGCTGCGAGCGGCGTGGGAGCGATGGATGACCGACGGAGACCACAGTTTCACGAAAAGTGGAAGGCAGCACCGGGCAGGTTACGCCACCGTTTGCGGATGGATTGTAGAAGCTTGGACTAACGTGTCTGCTGGCTCTGTTGTTCGAGCTTTCGCAAAAGCCGGCATCATTTCCAAGGAGCCGCCCGGCACGGAAAGTGACTCTGACAGCGAAGAAGGGGAAATTGGCATGTCTGATTTAGCGCAGCTGTTTAATTCAGAAACAGGGGATGATGATTTCGATGGGTTTGATTAATGCTTTGTAATAAATAAATGAATAAAGCACAAACATACTCAGTTTTGCCCCCGCTGTATTTTTAAATACGCAGTAGAGGTATTTAAACGTAGTAGAGGATATGTACCTGAATATAAAACCCGCGCCCTATAATCCGGTGTGTGTTAAATACAGTAGTGGCACACATAACTGAGACTGCATCTTTTAGTACGGTGCGCCTTATGGTCGTGAAAATACGGTATTATTCTAGTCATCACCATTACTATGATAAATGATAGTACTAATACTGTCATTAATACATTTATCATTGTTAAAAGTAAATGTTGTAGTTGCCAATATCCTTCCTTGAATAGAAATGATTATTATCATCCTAATTCTCATTAGTATCATGATAACAGGTCACTATTAGCAGGACTGTTATTATTAGAGATGGACCAAAACATCGGCTGGAAGATTTTAGCGTTTTTTTCCTCGTGTGTTTGCAAGATCTATTCTACAGATTGTAAAATATGGATTATCTTTTGTCCAACCAATATTCTTCTTATTACAATGATCATTATCAGTGTTTTAATTTCCATTATTATTACAGTATCAGTATCATCACTACTATTAAGTACAGTTTTCATCCCTGTTAATATAACTGGTATTATTGCTGTCCCTATAACCAGTATCATCAGTCACTGTTATTATCATGATAAGGCAAGAATCAAAGACTTATCCTGAATGTTAAGCCCCCTCCCCGCTCACCGTACACATCCCCCAGCTGGTTCCAGTACGTCTGGGGTTCAGGTGGTGGCAGGAAGGGCTGGTGGGGGACAGGAAGTGACCCAGTAACTGCAGCCAGCTGCTCTAAGGTCACCTGCAAGGCTGTCTCCAACAACAGAGACCCCTGACCCCGGGTTAACCGCTGCACCCCCAAACTCAGGCATGGACACAACAGACCAAGATTAAAATCCTGAGAAAAAAAAACAAAACAACAAAGTTACAGTCAAGATCTAATTTAATCCACTCTTGCATGAGGAAATGAATCCATAAGTCCATATTTGTTTTGTCGGTTGGAATCGGGTGTTTTCAACAGATGTTTTGTGCATCTGTGTTATTTATTACCTTGCAGCTCATGACACTCAGCAGATCAGCAGCAGGTAATTTAGTGAGTAGTTCTGTTGTCTCCAGTAAGGAAACATCTCCACCAAGCGAGCACTGGGACTTCACCAGAGCAACATACCACTCCTACAAAGATGAAACATTTCCAACAAGATTTGCTTCTTGTTTAGTAAAACAGGAGCTCAAAGGTGTTCCTGAAAGTTATGTTGTTAACATTAGCTTTCTATTCATTACCTTGTCTGCAGCAACATTTTCAGGGGGTATAGGAGGATCCCCATCCAGAGGGTGGGACGTCACTGGAGGTTTCGGGCTACTGGTGTCAGCGACAGTGGCTCTGAACCTGTCCAGCAGGGAGTAGAACCTCTGATGCCTTCAACAGATAAACAGAGATGACCTTTACTTCACTTGTTTCCTCATTGACAGACCATAATATCAAACTCTTATCAGGTGTGCAATACAAGAGAATTATTCAGCTACAGGAGAAGCAGAAACCACAAGTTGTGAAAGCAGACCTTTGAGCTAATCCGCTGGTCTGGAGGTATTCCTGGATTCTCTCCAGTTCCTCCACAGGCAGCTGGGCTATGCTGTTCTGTAGGGGGCAATATATGGAGCCCAAAGGATTCATTTATTTAAAAAAAAAGTTTTCCACCAACCTTCCCACCACATTCACATCTTGGTATCATCATTACACTTCCACATATTCACAGTCACCTGTAATGTCTCAGCCAGCAACATTTCTACTCTGCGGCATGCTAGCGTATCCACCATGCGTGCCAAAACCCTGAAGGGCGTATTGAGTAGCTTGTCTACGTAGAGCATGAGAAGAGACCCAGACTGACTGAGGTGGATGCCTTCCAAACACTGCAACGTCTTCTTCAGCATGGTGGGCTAGGAATTCCAAATAAATGAAGAGATGTCAGGAAAAAGAAAAGGAAAAACTCTGAAGGATCCGGTGACAACAGGACTGAGCATTGAGAAGAAGGATTAAATGAAAAACTATTCAGACTTTAAGCAGGTTTTTGTCTTACAGTGGTGAGATTGTCACATCGAGACTGGATCGCCTGAATGAAGAGACCACTGGCAGCAGAGTTGCGGTGGATAGCGCTGATGAAATCTTGTACTGGAGGCTCATGGGAAAGGCTGATTAGGTCGCGCACGTGGTTGACGATCAGCCAGGTCAAATGCTCCGAGTCGTGGAGATTCTGACACTAAAAAGCAGCACAATTTACAAATTCATTCTAGTAGGATGCGGCTCTGTAGGGCTAAGGCTACGTTAACATGCACTCACATGTGATCCAAATTGGATCTTTTTAATGGCAGTCCGAACAGCCCTATTCTGATCCTTAAAATATCATCCACTTCCATGTGGTACTAAATCTGATATGTATCCAATCGTATTTAGTGCCTGCAGTCTGAATGGAACCCATTTTATTGGGTGGCCATTGTTATTTATTTTTTTTCCAAAGTTTATTTACGCTTAACATGTGGTACAACATAAAGACATATAAATAGTTATATAGATAACAATGTACCTTTAACATATAAACATAATTGGGCTAGAACAAACCCCATTATACCCACATATATACTCCTATACAGAATACAAAAAATATATAATAAAAAATAAATAAATAATAATAATGATTAAATAAATAAATACAAAAAAGGATCAAGCCAGGTGAACATAATGAGAAGTGGCCATTGGGTGGCCATTGTTAGTTGTGCTGTTTTTTTCTTACTTTCCTTCTCTGTTAATGATGTTGTCATGTTGCTGGCAGATCCCATAAAATAGGAGTTTATTAACACAAAGACACTGGGCATCAACTAGGTGTGTAAGTAATAATTGTTTTGTATCAATGCATCGATCCAACAGCCGACGATCCGATGCATCGACACGTCCCTAAGAGTATCGATTCATGTTTTTTTTTTGTCCTCCGGTCTATTTTATTTTTATTTGCTCCTGGGTGTAATTCTCCCTCCCGTGTTGCGGTGGCGCTAAACCTATTTCGCCCTCCTGCCTTGCTTCCTGGTTATTCGTTTACAGCAGTGTGTTGCAGCAAGCTTGACACAGACATTTTTAAATTATGCTCAATATTGAAGTGTGGTCTGTGCTACACACTGTGGGTCTAGATACGGCCGAGGCGGTGAGGAAGTGGGAGCGAGTTTAGTCCGACGACGGAGGGACATGAGGGCCAAAAGGGGCGGAGATCCAGGTGGAAAAAGGGTCCCAGCGTTCTTGCACACCTCACTCTTCTAGCGGGTCAAACTTCACGAGTTGTTTTCCGCAATTTGATTCATAAAAACAAAACAAGCTGGCCTCCTGTCTGCGGCACCGTTTGCGGTCAGCTACAGTTTGGGAGAGGTGCAGCGGAGCATCTGTGGAGGGAGCGGGGAAGTCTGGAGCCGAGGTATTGCATTGCACTCATTGCACTGATTATGTGCAGTAATTTTTGATGCAACGTTTCTACTTCTGTTATTTGCTGTTGTTTCTAAAATAAATAAAAAATGCATAACGATATTACGGCTTTCATTGATTTATTTCAAACTTGAAACTTTGTCTAGCCTGTAAGGTGTAAAAAAAAAAAATTTTAATTAACCGATTAATCAAATCGAATCGTATCGTGGTGTATTCTTGAGTATCGAAAATAATCGAATCGTTGGGTCAGGAAATCGATACTGAATCGAATCGCCATGATGGATGTGATTTAGACCCCTAGCATTAACCATTATGTTTTTTTGTTTTGGGTTTTTTTCTTTAACAGGACTTTAATCAACACTTCTAATCAGAGTCACATTCATCATAATTTCCATTAACACTGGACTGCTGTGTGATGTCTACAGTATTCCTCTACGCTTGCGCTCGCTATGATGTCCTGAACCATTCAGAATGAAGTCTGATAATGGTTGAATATGAAAAAAATAAATAAAAATTCAGAGGAAAACAAAAAAATCCGAATAGAGCATGATTGTAGCCCAAATCTCATCTTTGCAGTAACTGAACAATTATTCTTGTAAAGCTTCACTTTTCCTGCCTAAGATTTTCAGAGTTTAAAGCCTATTTTAAATTTGTTTAAAATTTGAGGAGAAATTATCAAAATAACAATAGCAGTTATTTCTGCAGTGGGCATGGATAGATGGACAGACGGATGTTTCCATAATGTTTTCCTTTCAAGACGTATCAAGACATTCTGATGAAATTCCATGGTTCTAGCTTGCATAGAAGCCGTGCTCTTAAATTATGAATGAACCTTGAATCTGTACATCCACCTCAATAATATAAGCTCAAAATTTAATCCAAATTACAGTCAGCAGTAGCTTTCTCACCACATAGTCACAGAAGAGAATTAGGGCTCCCCTGCGTACGATCTCCCTGTTGACCATCGCTAGCCGGGACTCTGGCTTTTCTTCTTCACCTTCCCCAGAGGAATGTGGACTTAACAGCTTAGTGCATGAGAGGCTATGCCCCCTGAAAAGAAGGATGGAAGAAGGGACAGACAGAAAGAGGTCGGATGGAAATCATCTCTTAATAAATTTACATAAAAGAACTGCAAGAGAACTAGCATCACTTCTGTTCATTTCTAGAAAATGTATGTGAAAGAATTTTAGAAATCAAAGTATGTCTTCTAGTTTCTTCTCACCTGGGTGTCTGATGAACCTCAGTCCACCATGAATAGTTTGTGTAGTTGATAATGAGGAGAACCTGGCACCACAACAGCACCAAAGGCGGATGGGTGGTGACGAGACTCTGGAACATGCAATTGAGTCCTTCTAAAGGGTAGTAGAGACCGGTCTCCGAACCGGCCTCGCCCTTCAGGAGACGACTGGCTGCAGCTGTGATCCTGCGAAACATTCCTGTTCATACAAAAGTTAAAGCCTACTTTCTAAATTTTATTGTGGAAACTTGAGATAAATCATTTTTAAATTCTAACATTTCTGAGTAAAAGTAGAAGAGCATGCGCTGACCGCTTTTAAAGACGTGTATGAGACACATGAGCAACGTTCCCAGCTGCTGGCAGTAAAAGGTGTGCTGCTGCTCGGTGATGTCCACTTTAATCCGTCTGCTGGAGATATCGTCCAGTAACACTCCTACTAGCTGAAGAAGGAACCTAGAGGGAGATATTGAAAAAGATATTTAATAAACTTGTATAAAATAGCCAAAGGAGTTTGTGTATTACCCCACCATACCACCCTACACACCTTGCAAAGGTTTCTTCAGGTGGAACCTTCTGTGGGTCTCCGTTGGCTTCCTGGTTGCAGCCCGTTTCAGCAGCAGGTGGGTCACTGGAGGAGGGGCTCTGCTGATGCAGGCGACGAATCGTGTAGCAGGAGAGGAGGTGTGGAGAGAGAGACAACTCATGGACCCGGGACAGGACAATGTCCTCAGTGGACTGGGACACTAATACTCTAAGCACGGCCAGGATTCCAGAAACCCACAGCTGGACAGTAGCGACGGATGCCTAGAGGTGTTAAAAAAGCTCTATTTACTCAGTAATTACTAAACTGAATGTTGTGCAGATATTGCTAACAATGAAGTGACAGCCGCAGCATTTAACACCAGATTTCTCTGACCTAACAGATCAATAGCTTCAACTCTTTACGAAAAAGTTTTTTATGAAGTTTAGGAGAGTGATCATGCGATTCTTTTTTAAGCCGTGTTCCAGAAGCACATTCATAAGGTCAGACACTGATTTTGGACAAGAGTCTGATTTTATGATCTAGACTGATTTGCCTATCAGTTATAACTTAGTTTAGTGATTCCACTTTACAGTTTGGGGACAAATCTTTCTGCCGTCTCTCTGCAGCAAACATTTGAAGCCAGACTGTTTCCATAAGAACTGAAAAATCTAAACTGGTTCAATGAATAGATGTAACGTAACCTGCCAATCTGTGCTGGAGACTCATTAGCGACTGACCAATCAGTGATCAGCATCTGCCCCGAACTAAGAGCAGCAGCTTCTCTCTCTCTGACAACATGGACTCAATCTTTCATTAGGAAGGCATAATGAATATTTTATTAAAAAGATATCTAATAAAAGGCTAGATGTAAGTGAGGAAAGTTGCTACCTTAAAAGAACCTAAGGCAGAAAATGATTTGCCTGAACATTTGCTGATTAGCCAAAATGCCCCATGAAAAGCTTAAAGTATGTTTCTGTTAAAAAAATCTTGCTCTGGTTCAGTTTGGTTTACACTAACTCACTTTTCTGTGAATACGGGATGATCTTGCAGTTGTCAAACAGAGATGCTAAAAAGAAGATGTCTCCACTGTTCTTTGTGGCTTCCTTTAAAGCGCTTCTTTTGGTTTTGCTCTCTTCTTTGTGGTGTGAGGTTTGGATGGCTCCTCAGCAAGTAAAATTCGTCCAATGAGGTTCTCTATACCCTGTTAATGACCAAATCTAAAGGCCAAATCATCGCTAAAGGTCTGTAGCTACTGGATCCCCTTCACCTTTTGAATTTGAGGCCAAGTTGCTGTTATTCCCAATCATTTCTGATACAAAGAAGAGTTAACGATAGAATAATGAGTAGTGAGGACATTTTAGGACTTAATTTATAACCAAGTTAGCATCTTATCAGAAAAGCATGCTGGGAATCATTATGCTCACAAAAGCAACCCCTTCTTTCAGAAATGTTTGTGAAGCTTTTTGAACTATTAGGTACAGAGGTGACTGAATGAAATAGGTAAAGAATACATCCTACAGTACAGTAAGAATAGAGGCGGAGTCTCACCATGGTGACAGGGATAGTAAACATGCTCTTGAGCAACATGTCAACAGGTCTGAGAGAGGAGGGGGCCACGGTCTCAAACAGAGTGTTTAACACACCTAACGCCTCTGGAGAGTCCAGGAGCATCTGGCACATGATAGAGAAAAGACGAACAGGGAGTTAAAGAAATAAAACAGAGTTTGGGTATTCAAAGAGATGACTGCTTTGGTCTTCAACAACCTGCTGCTTTGCAATCATAGGAAGGATAACATCTGCGATCTGCCTCGACAGTCTCTTCCACTTGTCCTCGTTTTCTTTGTGACACTGCTGCAGAACAAGGATAAACATCTCCAGCACCTAAAACAGAAGGCCCAGGCACGTTAAGGTAGGGAAACAAACTTAGGATACCCCCTAACATTAGCCTGTTGTCGCCTCCGTCCGTACCTGATGGTACTGTACAAGTCTGAGAAGCATGGACACCACCACTTCCTTCTGGGTCTCCAGCTCTTTGCCTGCATCTGCTTTGTTTGAGCCTCTCAACACAAAAAGGTCATAAACTATGGGCTGCAAGGCAGGAATGGCTGGAGGAAAATAAATAAATATATCCTGATTAGTTAACAGATTAGTTACATCGATCAAAAATACAAACAAAGAAAATTGTGGAAGTGTTCTGCTCACCATGGGTGACGGCTTTCCTGCCGCTTGCCATGATGCCGTCACACAGCTGGATGATCTTTGGGATGCTGATGATCTGCTTGGAGTGGTATCGTTCATAAGACAGCAGCACCAGGAAAAAGAAGATGTTGGGAATGATGGCTTCAGAATCCCTGCACAGGAGGACAAACGTTTATATCCACTCAAATGAAAGGTTTTGATCTTTAGGGGGGGAGACAAACATACCTGAACTGCCCCACTTCAATATACTCAAACTGCTTTAGGACGAAGCCTATGAACACCTGCAACATAAAAAAAAAAAACATTGTTTCAGCAGGTTACACAATGTTTATGGATGGGTATATTTAAAGGAAAGGTGCATGCTTTTAACCTGATCCGAGTCCAGCAGGCAGTAGTTGACTCTGAGCTGCACCAGCTGGGCCAGCAGGTCCAGCACCTGTCTCTGCAGGGCCACAGAGGTGCTGGTGGTGTACTGCTTCAAGGCTTTGATCACGAGCGGCTCAAACAGACGGATGTGGTTGTGAATGGCATTCTGAGGAGGAGAAAAAAAAACAAAAAACTGTTAAATAAGCCAATTTAGCACACACTTATGTCTGAGTAAACATCTGAAAGTTAACGTAGTGAAAAAGCAGTGGATATGCACCTTGTCTCCCCGCTGACGTGTAGCATTTGCAATGTTAGATCTCAGTTGATTGGACGCTTTTTGCATCACGTCAAACCATCTAAACATTGAGAGAAAATGTGATCGAAATGTGAAAAAAAATCAAGGGCTGCCAGTGTTTTAATAAGGAAAGTATTTAGGATTTATTCTACTCCACTCACCCAGAGGCATCCTGCTCCTGTTCGGCCTGTACCATGTTGCGGAGGCTAGCATCAGCCAGCGCCTGCGTGAAGTGTGTATACGGAGCCATGAAGCAGTAGTGGTAGAGGCCAGGGCGCAGACTGGAGGAGCCAAGGCGGAGCGCTTTGCCCTGGGAGCGGCTGGGTCCGCTCAGCACGCTTTCATATTGGGAAGCCAGGTTGGTCCCAAACAGCGTCTTCAATAACTGAACAATAAATCGGGAATAAAATCTGCCTTTCAACCAAAACATCAACCAAATGAGTCTCTTTAACCTTCATCTAGAGCATAAAATACTTCTTCAAACTGATTTTCTCCTCTTAAACAGTGTATGGAACCATCGCACAGGGAAACCAATGTCTTTACAGGCCCTGTCGGCAGGAACCAGCCTCACTCTGTGTGGAGCAGAACCGGATGTAGCACACTGCTCAGTGCTACAGCCATGAGGACTTCCACACATAGTTAATGTAAGAAAGCCAAATTTAAATGTAGATCACAAACCTGCTGCACACAAACTGTGGCCATGGTCGGTTCTCTGGAGAAACAGGACTTCAGGTAGCCCAGGATCTCCTCTACACACTAAAAAGACAAACAGATTGTCACTTTCTGTAAATAACATTAGTCTTATGCCAGTTCTGCCTTTAGTGAAACAAAGCATAATGTTATCTTCATAAGCAGTTAAAATAAAGATAGCCGTCTAAGGCAGGGGTCGGCAACCCACAGCTCTTTAGCGACCCCTTTGCAGCTCCCTGGAGCGTTTTCAAAAACTGTTTACTTTAATATGGTGTGCAGGAGGTCAAACATGCTGTAAACCATTTGTATAATAAATAAATGTAAACAAAAAAATGTAACATTTCTGTCAATAAAAATTTGCGTCATAGCCATAGAGATCAGTGGCCTGCAACACACATTTCAGCGCGACGCGGTGCCAGGCAAACAAAGGAGTTTCTCGGACCCGCAAAGAGAAAAAAGAGAAGATACCTGATGACAACAAAGGATTTCAAAGAAGAATCATTTACTTTCATTGTGTGGAAGGATTGCCTGCATGTTTGCTTTGTAACGAGAAGTTGTCAAAAAATAGAAAGAGTAATTTGGAAAGGTATTTCCAGGGAAGGCAAGCTAAATTTGCAGCTGGCCACAAAGTTGGGAGTTAGAGAAAAAGCAGGATTGCAGAACTTCTGGAGCAATTAGTGGAGAGAAAAGATAGATTTAAGAAGTGGATTGCATATCCAAAATCCACTACTGCTGCTAGTTTTGTTGCAGGGATGGAGAACCGCTCATAGATCGAACAGGTAGCGCTCTGATGCAGGGATGTCAGTTTTCTTAAATGTTTTTCCTCGAATCCTTGAAATAAAAATAGAGGATGTGGGATTTCGGGGTTAGAGAGCTCTGCTCTGATGGATGTCAGTTCCTCTTTGGTTCCTCATGACTCCATCCACTCCTCCAAATAGAAACAAGTCCACCATAGAAAGATTCCTTTATCGTGTTTCTATAATTTCATCAATGCAACAAAACCTTAACCGTGCGGTGAACGGCGGTGAAGCAGGGCACAGTGAATTGCCCGCGGTAAGAGCGCTCACATCTTTTCTCTCACCTCATGCTGCTATGTGACATTTGCTCCAAGAACGACAATTAATCATGAATGCTTATTATATATTTAAGCCTAAATAGTCATTTTTTTTCTGAGCTAAAACGCTTACAGCCCATGTTGCCATATGAGGCCTATATAAGACTTTTACATTTTTGCAGCTCCAGACAGATTTGTTTTTTGGGTCCAATATGGCTCTTTGGGCAGTTTGGATTGCCGGCCCCTGATCTAAGGTGACAGTCCCCACCTTTCCGATGTCATGAAGTGTGGCCAGCTCCAGCAATTGAGACAAAACATCCAAGGCAGCATGCAGAAAACCACCAAACTTCTCCTGGTTACTGTAAAGATCCAAAGTCACCTGGAGGAAAGGGAAGCCCATTTTAACAACCTCTGCAGCCCATCAAAAAAAGTGCGGAGGAAACAGGGAATTAATTCTGACCCTATAGTTGGCATGTGTGGCTTTCAGTACATCGTAGAGCTTCAGGTAGGGAGGAAGGTGGTAGAAGCTGCCCAGGGTGATCGATTTATTCACTGCTGCTGATGCTGTGCTGTCCGTTTGCCTGCCTGCTTAAAAATAACAGCAAATATTATTATTGTTTTACATGTTTAAAAGTAAAAGATTAAATGTGAGTGAGTGCAGACTGACCTGTGTTGATTTCGTTGCTCTTCTTTGGGCTCATGGGGGCAGTGTTTGGCTCAGCCGTCTCCTTCTCCTTCCCTTTCCTGCGGATGGGACTGAGGGACGGGGTGTTACTCAGAGACGGGAGCGCAGCCTAGAGAAATAAATAAGAAAAAGGTCAAGAAATTCCAAGAAATTCCACACTTTTCCAAACTAATGATTTCAGATTTTTGTAAAAAAAAAAAAAAATCTTTTTTCTTGATATATACACTCCACAGGTCATGAAACAACAAGATGGTTGTGGTGCATAAAGTATGCTTGCTGAGACTGAAAGCATTTAGTTTGTTTAAATGAATAAAAACAAGTGCATGAAAAAAAACATTCTACGATTACATTATTTTTCTTTTTCACCTTTATTTCTTGTATAGCTTAATTTAGAACAAAGCATCACTGTGTAACTTTTAGCCACAAGGTGACCCAGGCAGCTAAATTAAAAGTTTAGTCCCCTGGCTGCGCTGCACTGAGCAAAATTAAACATCCTCCCTTCAATGCTTTGGAATCTGATAGCAGACAACTCAGGGCCAGCAGATTGGAGGTCATGGAGTTACTTGTGAAAACATGGAAACATTCACCCTTCTAGATTAGAATCAGGGAGGCGTTACATTGATTTTAGGCCTTAAAAAAAAAAAACTTTTAGCTAAGTTGGCTCTCCAGGTTAGGAGAAGCTCAGATTGCTGAGAAGTGTCATTTTCAGTGTTGGACGTTTTACTTAAAGAGTTACTAGTTATAGTTAATAGTTACTACTCCTAAAAAGAAACTCAAGTTAGTAACTCAGCTACTGCAGTTAATTGTTATGATCCAATCTGTCGAAGAATACGATTAATAAATTAGATAATTAATTTCAAATTTAAATCTGAAAACTAATCTGCACTATTTCGACACTTGTGGATTGACTGCCTGTTAAATTTGGCCTCACTGCAGCTATAAAATAAAGATAATTAAACCCAGCAGCTTAGTTATTCTTCATGAGCTTGCCTTCACTGCTGGTCCTGGTGGCGTGTCGTCCAGCACGTGGGCGCAGATGTTGAGAACCTTTAGCAGATGAGAAAACAGCTGTTCCACCATGGCCACCAGGGAGCGCTCTGACAGCGCCGCCCAGGGTTCCTCTATTTTATTTGGGCCTGGGTTGGGGTTCCCAGAACTTCCTTCCTCCTCTCCAGCCCAGGGGTTGCGTAAGCATTTAGGAGCCACCGCTGAGAACATTAGCATCAAAGTTTAGTTTCTCTTAATCGGGATGATGAAGTAAAGAGTGCGACAGAATTTAAAATGAACCTTAACAAATGAATCTGAAATTTCTCACCAGCAAGCAGATTGCCACAGAGCAAAAGTGCATCTTGGTGTGCAGAGAGATCCAGAGGAAACCACGCAGAAGACAGCAAGGAGAGCACCATGTTGGCCACTCCTACAGTCAGTGTCCTCCGCTCAGAGTCCCCTGCAGATGAGGGGGGTGCTGAGGAGGCTGAAGCACTGCTGCTCTGAGACAAGCTGCAACAACAAGAAAATCTAAGTCTAATCTGACATATAAAAAAAATCTAGAAAAAAATCAGAACAAATCTAAGCCTCAGACCTCAGGGTTCTGCCTCTGCTGCGGCTCAGGCTAGAGCGAGAGGAAAAGTTGCTGCTGGAGCTAACGTAGCCACAGTGCCAGCCTGTGCTCCAAGAACCAACAGGAAAATGTGACGCCAGGAGGCACAAGGCCTCACAGCAGCCAAACTGCAGAGAAAGAAGGAACATATTTCTGTTGGTTAAGGGAAACACCATCAGATCAGAAGGAAGGGTCTCCTGAAGACTTACGGTTAGCGCTCTGGAGGTAGAAGATGTGAAAGCATGGGAGACTGCAGTAACAACTCTGGACAAGTTGTTTTCCAAGGTGACGTCAGACACTGAGTTAGAGAAGCTGTAGCCCCGATACGTCCTTTAGGAAAGGGAACAGATAGGTTTTGAAACAAGGTTTAACTAAACAGTTTTCCATCACTTCTCCAATAGCTTTAAACTGTAATAAAAGGTTCTATTTTATCTATTTTTGCTGTTTTGTTTTACTTTCTCTATTTTCATGCAATCTTTCCTGTCTGTCTCTCTCTCCCCCTTTTTTCCTATCCTCTCTTTCTCTCTCACCTCCCTTTCCGTCTCCATTGTATGCAAATTCCCTCCCCAAATCATTTTTTTATAAAGTTTAATATAATAGTTAAGTATCAAGCGGAACCTTATAGTAACACTCATACTGGTCTGCTTGGGAAAGCAAAGCTGTAGGGCTATCATTTAGCTCCGGGACATCTATTCCCAGAGCCATACTGGCAAAATAGGACACAAAGAAATTTAAAAAAGTCTTATCAAACTAGGAGCAATTTTAATTCTTTTACAGGAACTTTTATTCAACATTTGCTTTAAAACAGCAGCAAGCAATCAAGTTCCTTAGACCTGTCCAAGTGGATTACAATCCAAGGTAAACATGCAAGTATGGGACTTTTAGAACATTTTGATTTATTTTTTCATACAAAAGAAGCAACCTGCATTTCTACAAGTTAAGAGCAATATCTCTGTCTGGGATAAAATATGTCCTACCCTGATAGCATAATCTAAATCATAGATCAGATCAAATCCGATGAATATTCAGAACCTGAAAAATCTGATCCTTTTCCAATGTTTGAAGCTACGGTGCTTAGTGCTCCCAGGTTTTTCTAAGATCTTTCCTCTTTAAACCAGAGCATCTCTGGAACTCTGTTTCAACATTTTGTTTTACACAACTAAAAATCACAGTTTATTTTAAGACATATCAACAATAGGTTAACAGCTAATCATTTTATTCCTACTGTAAATTAAGAAGGAACTGTTAGGGAAGGCTGATAATCACCAGCTGAGCCAGTTTCCCTCTTTTAGCTTAAATAAACATTTTGGAAGTTTTTCCTATCTTTATAATGGCCTTTTTATTTGACCCTTAACAACTAAAACATTGTTTAATGAACAGACTGAGACCTCAGTAGTTCAGCCTGAAGCCTATTTTCTTTAATTTGCTTCAGGTCAGAAGTTCCCACACCGTTCAGCAGATGTGACGTCAAGCACGTACATCTTAAATGGGTCCGACCTGGCAAACAATCGAAGCTTTAGATTCAAGATGGATTTTTTGAGCTATGAAAACGAGCAGAAGAGTGCTGCAGTTCTGCGTTTCGGCCACAGGTGGCATTATCATTCAAAAACTCAGTAATGCCTCTTTAAACTCCAACAGACTTGAAAAGCCTGAGATCATCCTTCAATTTCTTTTCTTTTTTTATAGAAGTACCTTGTGATCGTGCTGACTGTGAACTGGGAGGGGGGTTGTGTCTCATGCATAAGTAGCTGCAGGTAGACTGAGCTCTGGTCCCGTGCAATCGCCACCACTGGGTCCACCTGGCCTTGGTCGCAGTCAAAGAACAATCGTGGAACTAGTCTGGAAGAGAGAGGCGCAGCGGAAAAGGAATTCTGTTTTAATATCTTGGGTTATAGAACAAGCCGTTGCTGTGATGATCTTTGGAGTAATCTTGTAGTTCAATGAAGTACTGTGTGGTGAACCAGTATACCTGCTGACAGCAGAGGCTGCTACGTGTCGCACTCTAGGATCGTCATCTCCCAACAGATGTATGACTACATCATTTAGGACCCTGTCCTGGATCCGCAGGCGCTAATTCCGACAAAAACAGGAATAAAATATCTAAATAATACACTCACTTTCACACAGAGAAAAAGAAAATTGTTAATAGCTTACCCCAGTGTAGTGATGATCTCCTTTGTGTAAAGTTTCCGTTTTCCTCTCCAAGAAATTGATCAATCTAAACCAAAATAAAGTAAGGTAGAAGCTAAAACTCATGCAAACCATCTAATGTTTTTTTTTTTTTTTTAAACAGCACGCAATTTGAATCCTACCTGAAGTCTAACTCAGAAAGAGTCTCCAGGAGCTCAGTGCGAACAAGCCAGTAGGAAGAGTCCCGCAGAACAAAGAGGTCTATCACCAGCTGCAGGCCGAGCTCGCTCAGTGTACTGCTGCACAGCGTCATGATGCAGTGCTGAAACACACAAGCATAGATGGGATTCAGTAACTCCACCCAGATCACATAGTTAACACTCCTGTAGGCTCAACCTACCCTGACTGCAGCACAAGCCATCTTGCAGGTGACAGAGGACTCATCTTTTAAAGCTTTCTGAAGCAAAGGCACCAAATCCACCAGGGACAGGGGGTTACCTACAGGACAGAGACTCCATGATTTATATTCAGACTTTCCTCATGTTAGCAGGACGTTCAGCACCCAAAAACACAAACCTGTTGCACTTTGCACACTGGCCAGCCAAGTGTGTATGTTGTAACGTGTTTTGGTAAGCGCGGCTTGGATGATGGCACCACAGAGAATGGCTGTGGCGCCTCTGATCTGAGGGTCTCCGTGTGCAATAAGACCCAGAACGTCACTGACGTACTGCTGCTCTGCAATTGAACACACAAAAACAGAGTCAAGTGAGAACCTACCAGAAAGATTAATGCATCACCCTCTGCATCATGTGATTTTTATTTGGCCTGGGAAATTAGTTGCATTACAATTACAATTTAACAAGAAGCGATTTCTAAATAGCAGAGACATTCAGCATGTCTGCTTCTGTCGCCTCAAACCTCAGTCGGCATCGGCAGACAGTTGTTCACACTGGGCGTGTTTGTGTGAGGGATTGCTTTCGAGTCAATGATTTGATGCAATTACTTGGTTTTCCTTATGGCGCTGTCACGATTTGACGATTTAGCCAGCGTATGCCGATGTACAAAAAATTTGTCAGAAACGCTGGTCTACGTTGGATAAGTTATGGATAATTGTTATATAAGTTGAGCACGCGATGCACGCTGGCACACATTGACATACGGAAAGTACGTCAATTCCTTGACGTATGCCAGGGTGTGCTCATACATGGGCCATAAGTTACAGGTAAGTTATGTGATCGTTGACACGCGTTAATAGTAAGTTACTCATTAGTCATGGTGTTTACCTTATCCAACCTGTATCATCCCCATCATAGGGTGTGCGTGAAAGTGAGTGTGATCCTTTCTTCGTTCACGCCCACAGTGACGACCAACAAACTTCCTAGCAGACATGACGCATCACACATGCAGTATCTTCACACAGGAATCTGCTGTGACTGCAAACCTTTTTCTTTTTTCGGCGGGTGGTAAACAGCAGGTAGATTAATACCGTGACTGCCAAGTTTAGAGAAATCTAAACTTCTCGTTGTGGGTAGGCCGCAAATGTTCCTGCTGGTAACGGGCCTGCCCGGTGTAGTCTGTACACCCAGATTGGCGCCATGCTTGACCCTCTATAACATGAGATTTTGGTCTCAAAAACAATGATATAAGTCTAAGAGAGTACTGCCCAGTATCCTCCTGGCTTATTAAAATGGGTGCCAGTGCAACTAGAGACAGGGTTGCTACTGTGTGAGCGAAGCTGTCTCTCCAGCGTGTTTGGAGATGGACGAGTTGTGAAATGGCGAACCAACCTCCCCAGTGGGCGATGGGACCAGCCCGCAGGGGTAGCATTTCCAGTGCCAATACCCTCGGTGGCGACGGCCATGAGCCCTGCTACTGAAATCTCCCAAGAGAGAAAGTCTATATCAGTTTGAACGCAAGCCCAGGAGGAAAACTGGTGCAGTCGAGGGTAGATCTCACCAAGTTAGTCCCCTGGAGGGCCCTCAGTGGTAGCTGAATGACTGACTGCCTATGGTTCATCAGAAGGGTAGAGCCAGAGACAGTTGTGCTAGCACCAAGGAATGAAGAGGTCGTCACAGCCTCGAACACACTTACTGAGCCCGTCTCCAATGGCTCGCCAGGAGTGGGAGAACATAACGCCTCCACTCCCACAGAGATAAGGATTCTCCTATCCACAGTAAGCCCCTTTTCCAAAATCAGGGACCCTCGTTGGACCGCTACGGTTAGTGACCTCATCGCATTCCCACTCCCACGGGAAAGGTACTTGATCCCGCAGTGCCTCAAGAAAGTTTACTCCCACCCAAGTTCAAGATGGCAGCACCAAAAGGCAGGGGCTGGCAACAGCACTCGACAATTCTACAAAATATGCCGACTAGAACGATCCATACTATGCATCTAGCCTGTGTATTTGTCAAAGTCTCGATTTGTGACTTGATTAAAGTTTCAACAATTCAACTCTTCCCAGAGGCTTTGCAGGGAGAACAGTCCATGGTGGGGGTGTGAGGTTGTGACAGATGATGATATGGGCTTAGGACAGGCAGCGCTGGGTTGAAATGTCTTTAATGGAGTGAAGAGGAGCTTTTAGAATATTCTAGGACGTTGGCATACGCTGGCTATATCGTCAAGGTATGACAGTGCCATTAGATAGAAAACTTTGAACCAATCTGACTGCAGAGAGTAGAGAGAGATGCAGCTAGATGCATTCATCCAAGTACTTGTAAGCACTTTTTCTAAGGTCATATGTAGTACATTAAAAAACGTATCAAAGCAATTTGTTGATATAGAAAAACGAAGAATTGCTTGAAAGTGTAAATTTAGCTGAAGAAAAATCCAAAAGGGATTTAAATTACACCCATATTGTATCATCACTGCACTGCCTTTTGATTGTTCAATTGTGTATATTTCATCCTCTTATCTAAAACGATGAATGGATGCGTCTTCATCTCACACAAGTTTAATGATTTCATTAAAATGAAAATTATTTTTGCCAATAAAAAAATACAACAGACAAGCTTAAAATATTTCAAATGGGGTCCTACTTGTCTTATTTAATTTGCATGATAGGAATAAAAAAGGTAGCATTTTCATGTTGATACAAAAATGTTTATGCCTTTAATTGTTAGTCATTTTTGATCCTCTTGGTATTGAAAATCTGACCTAAATCTGCTTTAAACCAATGTCCCCCCCAAGCTAAACAAAGCAAAAGGCTAATTCAGTCCTGCAGATAACCAAAACAGACTAAACGTGCAATCATACCTGCAACCGGTTGGCCATCCAGTGGCTCCAGGTAGAGAGAGTTAAAGAAAGCTTCAGGATGCAGCGCTGCTGCTGCTCCAACACAGCTGACCGCCAAGGCCTTCACACTCACTCGCACCTCTTTATCAGGGATCAACCCTAAAGAAACAAAAAAAAATTATATATCTTTATAGCTAAACATGACATGAAATCTTACAATGTTTGACCACATCTCTAAAATGTAAATGCATACTTTCATAAAAATACTAAAAAAATTTGTATTCTAATATCGGGATGAACTATTTCAAATATCCACATGGTCTGTTTGAAGTTGGAGCTTGAAGCAGCTACTTACCATTTTTTTGGCCTGTGAGAAGAAAGGAAGCAGCAAGAAGTCGCACACAGTGCACAAGTGGCTCCGCCCTCTGGTCTGTATAGTGTCCAATCGGACCCTTAATCCGTGACGGCTGCCAGAAAACAATCCAAAAACTGATTACTATGTCATTTATTGTCTAATTGACCAAAGCTAAACATTTTATTTTGTATTACTGCATTTACTTTATTATCAGGTTCGGGTTCTGCAGGTTCTTCCTTTGGGATGAAGCGGTCCACGCTGCTGTCTGATCCCTGGCGATTGTGACCTCTGCCGTCAAACAGGTGAGGCTTACTCAGGGCTGCAAATAAAAACAAAAAATATATATATATTCTCATTGATATAATAAAGATCTCCAAAGGTTTCCATATACAGCTGCGTTCAGAAACATACCGAGGGCTGATTGCAAGAATGGCTCTGATGGTTCTTCCTGGGAGGAGGATGCTGCTGCTCCTTCATCTTCTTCATCCTGTAGTGTTCCTATCTGCATGCCAGAGTACTGGCTCTCGCTGCCATCCAGGACCTTTTTTTTTTTTTTCACACACACAGGGAAATCAGAGTAAATCCAAACTTTACATAAATTTGGTGAGATAGGATTATTGAATCATGCTAAAAAAAAAAACATTCACAGAAAATCAGCAGAACACAGGGGGAAGCATCTGCTGATTTTATACAAACACAGCTCCAATAGTGCAGGGAAGGAACAAGCTTTTGCTCGGGAGAGCTTGATTAGAAACAAGGAATCCTGTAAGACATTATGTTTGAATTATGATTACAAGTTGCAGTTATTCTTTATTTCTTTCACTCAACTGGAACAAAAGCCTTAAGGTCTTCCAACAACAGGGAGAAACTAATCTAAAGGAAGAAATAAGAAGGTAAAGCGACTCTTCATGCTTAATTTTTGACACCTCATTGCAAAGCCAGTCACAGCTCGGGTCAAAGGTTTTTTTTGAAGAGCATCACTCAAAATGAAGGGAAAGAAAGAGGCAGAATCTACCATCCACAACACAAGGAGGTAAAGATGCCATCACAACCGGGGCAGAAATGAACAAGCCAACCAAAGAAGAAGGAATGAGGGAAACCCAATGTTTCAAAACGAGCAGGAACCTCTCTGCCTTTTCCAAATGTCAAATTGTCTGACCTTGTCACTAGTGCTAGAGGAGGAGGAGGTGGCATAGAAGGAGGAAGAGGAGGAGGAGACGGATAGAGAAGACGACGATGAAAGAGAAGCAGTGCAGACGGAGGAGTCTGTGGCCGTGGCATCGGGGCCCTCAGTGGGAGTTGGTGAGATTGGAGGCGGATCAACCACCTGCTGCAGGGAGGGGCGCGACTGCAGCGAGGTGAAGACAAGGATGAAGAGGGTGGGGACAAAACCATAAAGGTAGAGCTGTTAAAAAGTGTTGGTTTTGTTATCGCTAAACAAGACCTGCAAGAAGAATGAAAGATATTTGCTTTATTAAAGAACGCCTTAGGAGGAGATTAACCTTTCAAACAAGTGGTTCTAAAAAAAAACACATCCTATGTTAAGAATGTCATAGATATTCTTATTGAAAAAACCTGAAAGAAAGGAAGGAATGGAGAGAGAAAGAATAGAAATTGACATTTAAAGGGGGATAGTAATGTTACACATTTTCTTTTACCAATACACCTGTAGTTAATTCAAGTTGCTTTCAAAGTTCTTATTTGTGTGTTTTACGCTTAGTTTTTGCTCAATTTGTTAGTGAATAAAGTCCTTTGTGTATTTTTACGACACTGCCTGACCAAAGGTAGGATACTGGGTATGTCCTCCAAGGGTAAACAAAGTAACGGGGTAAGCAAGTTAGCACGTTCTGGAGAAAAAAACATTTTGATCTTAAGATGGATACTGTTATTAACTGAAGCTAAAGCTTTGACGCATTCAGATGAATGAGCTGATATTTAATTTAAACAACTGGCTGCTGTAAGGGCTTTTGTTTTTAAAAAAGACGTCACATCCTGATAGTTATCCGATCTTTTTCCACTGAGCCCGTTAGTTCTGTCCTGTTCTTCCAGCTCCTTTCCAGACTGATTCCGGATTTATTCTGTTGGTTTGCACTAAACAAATCTGTAGTTGGACAGCTGATATTTTTGTAACTGCCTGAATTGACAGAATCCTGGATAGGTGATGAAAAGATTGTCAGAAAATATGAAATTCTGAAAGACTGGTTTGTGTTTGCAAAGACCCAGAAGACTGAGAAATTACACCGACAATATTATCTAAAATAAATCTAATCTAGAAATCTAAATAAAAAAAAACTGTCAGCAAACTAAACATTTTCTCAAGACTAACAAGTATGTATTTCCCTGACTTTTGATTACTATGCAAAATACATTCATATATATATATATATATATATATATATATATAATATTTTGAGAGAAACTGCAGTTTGGGCTTTCCTTAGCTGTAGGCCGAAATGGTTTAAATATTACAAATATATCTTTTGCAATTAATTTATACAAGTTTACCGTTAATTGAAGTATTGAAATGAGTTTGGGACATCAAATGTTTTAATTCACTAATTGACATACTAGTTGTGAAAATACTGTATAGGGATGTTCTGCTTAGCTAAATTCTGATGGCCAGATAAGGAAATTCTGACAAATCTGTGGCAGTGATTCTACTCTTAAAAATAAAACAGCCAGCCACCTCAGAGATAATAGAAAATCTGTCATCTCTGCTTCCCTTCTCATACTGACCAGTTCCGCTACATCTGAAGGGGTAACAGCCGAGTCCGGCCCCTCTGTGGTCGTCTGAGAGGAATCACTGGGTGGAAGTGATCGGTCGTTAGAGCCTAGCGCCGCCACGCCTTCTAGCGGGTCCCCGCATTCAGGAGTGGCGTTTTCCGGTGTTGTGTAGTCGGCCGTCTCTGGTGTAACGTTGGCACCGCTGGAGCTTCGGCTAAGCATCTCCTCCTCGTTTTCGTTGTTTGATTCAGGGGATGTCCCGCCTCCGCCGCCCTGCTCCGAGGATGCACTGAGGTCCACAGAGTCCCCGGGCTGTAGGGTGCGTTGGGAAGAGCGGGGCTGCTCTGTGATAATGTCCACCTGAGTGGTAGAGGATCCATCCGCTGCAGGAGGACAAACTTTATATATAAGCTTTGGAAAAGTGACTCAACCACACACTTGAAAAGAATTTTGTAAAAAAAAGAAAAAAAAATCTGTACACTAGAACGGATTACAGTTTTTAAGTATATATGTGGTCCTATGAGCCATTATCTCCAGGAAAAAACGGTTCTATCTGCTAGTGCTGTTCGAATACAACTTTATTTTCAATACGATAACGATATTACAGCTTTGAGAATTGGCTGACATTGACCCAATATCATATTAGTATGAATCATATTGGCCTCTATTACTTATTTTATTCTGTAGAACGACAGAAAAGGCTTGATCAAGTAACAAAACAGGGAATAAAAAAGTCAACAACAAAAGATATGAAAACAACTGACCCATGTAAAATTAACCAATGAGTTAAATGCCGGCTGATAAAATCTGTTCTACATCAATAAAGGTTCTGATACATCAAGTGTATTACTGTTTTAGTTTGGATGTCAAAATAAGGAAACAGAGATTAGTATATATTTTTGTATCAAATCTTTACAAATGTTTTACAGCTAAAAACTACTAAAGATCTTGTCTGCATTTTACATCTTTCCAAACGAATCACCATGGAGACTAGGTTTAACATGGTGGTGGTAGTATCATGCTGAGGGTATGCTTTTCTCAATCAGGGATAATCCTGGAAGAAAATGAACCTTCCAGTAGGACAATGATTCTAGGCAGGTCAAACTTTAGCCTCTACTTGAGCAGAATTGGTGAAAACATCCTCTAATAAAAAAACAACCCAGTTGCTACTCTGAAAAACAGAGGTCACACAAAGTACCAATAAACCATACATTTTTCTGGTTGCAATTTGGCTGCATTACTCCTCCTAGAGTGGAGTCAATATATTAAGCTAGCATTATTTCATTAGAGATGGTGGGTTCATCTAACCTGTGAAGGCTCCAGCAGGGACCTCTGCTCTCTCGGAGTCGTCCTCCAACCCATCCTCTTCTCCAGAAAGAATCTTACCTGGAAAATTCAGAATTATTCTCAGCTAAAAGACTAAAGATTCTGCCTCATTCTGTTAAGTATCAAAGCAATGAATGTAAATCAACAGCCTAAAGGTACAGTTGGAAAGGGCTTCCTTTTCACTGCACAGTGTGAGCTGAGGTGAGCACAACATAAACAGACAAGTCACCTCTCTGCTTCCTGAGAAGAAGTGGACTGCAGGAAGACCCTCCCCCTGCTGCATAGGGCAGGAAACAGGAAACAGAAACAAAATGTAAGAGGAAAAAAGCAGCAAAAGCTGATGGAGTCTTGCAGGAAACAAAGATAATTTTAACAAGATGAAAGGAGGGGAGTTAGGGAGCAAAGACAATGGAGCAAAGTCAGAACAAATCAGAAAAAAAGTGATTAGCTAGATCAGTAGGAAGGACTGAATTAAAGGCCAGCTGAGACAGAGATCAGTGTGTGAGGATACATATTTCAAGGGCTGAACTGCAAAAGCACTAAAGGGATAACCCATCAGTCCCAACTGATTGATGAGTTTACCGATGAGCTCAACAATGCTCCCTGAGCGTGCTCGGCTCTCGGTGTCCTGACGAAACACGGTGGCATGAGGAACGCTGCCGACTGTGATGAGCATGTGCAGAAGCTCTGGCGGAGGCGTCCTAAACATCTGCTGCAGAAGCTCCAGGGCAGCTGTGACCACGTTATGGTCCCAATGCTGCGTGTAGTGTAGGGTCAGCTCATAGACCTTCAGAGACACAGGAAGTATTCAGCTCACGAGATCCAAAACATCAAGAACTGTTCTCATGCAAATCCAGCTGATCCCACCTGTAGGAGCTGCTCAGGTGTTGGCTGAACATCGGCCTCCTTCCTCATCACTCCAAAGCTCCCTTTGAGGCTGATGGTGTTTACTTGGTGCTGCAGCAGAGGCATCAGGTAGCGAAGAGTTAACAGCACCCCCAGAATAAGATGGCTGGGGTGTTCGTCATCCACTGGAAGCACCAAGCCTAAAGGAGAAGACGAAGAGGCAGATTATGTGTGTGTTAATTCATCTCATTCATGAGGAAAAAGAAGCTGCAATGAAGCCTTTCTTTCTGTATAACACACCAAGCAGCACATTGAGGAGCCATGTGTAGAAGTAGCTGGTGCGTCTGGAGTGTTGGCACACGCTGACCGCAGAGCTGGCTGCTGTCCGTCTGATGGTGGGGGAGCAGGACTTCAGGTTGGCAATAAATGACCTCAGCAACACCTGAGAAAAAATATGACAATGAAACAAATTTTTTTAAGGGCGTGTTGGTAACAGACAGACAGCTGAGCCGAGTCAAATACCTTGACTTCGCCATCATTAGCAAAGTTCCCCAAGGCTGACAGGATCTTGGGGATGGCTGCAGCCAGTGTCTCCTGCACTGATTCCTCCTGACGCTTTGCGATCCGTGTGAGGCATGGCAGCAGGTTGACCAAATATGGTCTGCACCGTGGAGGAGAGGCAACAAAGAAACAACATGAATTTAAAGTTAATAAACTAGACTCATAAACCTTACATATAGAGATTAATCAAGTACAGCATTTCAGTTTTAGCAAACAAAGCATGCGAAACTTTGATTAAGCTTTAGGAGAAAAGTTTGCTGCTGTGCTTAAATAGCAGTAATTACCATATCACCTAGACTGATATTTATACAAGGTTAAATAAATAATAAAATTAAACTCAAAGGTTTCAGCTCATCTATAGATGCATTTACTCATAATAAAGAAACTGAATCTTTTTTTCTGCCTTTAATCACTGCTGTTAGAGCAGCGTAATGCAACAGATCCCCACTGTGATATAAGTGACTGTGTTGGCTGGATTAGTTTATCTTTCAAAAAGTAATCTAATTCCTTTTTCCATATTGGTAATGCTGTTACATTACTTCCAATCCAACGCTTGATTAATCAAAGCAATAAGGAAACCTTCTCTGTGGAGGGAACTGACTGGAGTTTTCTCAGAACCAAGTGAGAGAAATTAGACTGGGTGTTGCAGCTATTTTCTTCTTTTGTCAGAAAGAACAACTTCATCCAGTCCAGTTCTGTTTTAGTGACGCCCATTAAATCATCTCACAACCAACAACACTAAGCTACAGCTGGCTGCCTTGGTTCAATAATGCATATTGCCTTTTACTAGAGATGCATCGATCAGATACCTGGATCAGATATCAGCTCGAATAATGACTAAATACCTGGAGCACATATCGGAGATCCAACTCAGTGCACTTTACACTTAACTGTTATTTCTTTCTTTTTGCTGCTTATTTGTTAATAAATAATATAAAATACAATTATATCACACGGCAAGATATATGTTTCATTCATTCAACAGATGAATCTGATCTCTATCGCTATACCATCCATGTTCTCCAGCTGCTTGGATACAATATTTGTTTGGCAACTGCATTAAGAAGGTGGGTCATTTGTCATGATGGAAACCAAAAGAACACCGTGGGTATATCACAATGAATATTACCATTGTAATGACTAACAACTATATCCTAATTAATTGCCAATATCAGTATTAGTGTGCGAATAAAAGTAAACCTGAAGAAAGGAACATTTTATATAAAGCATGGCAGTATTTACCTGCATTTCTGCGGTCGGATGAGATGAGCTAGCTCAGCAAACCTCCACAAAGCCGCCCTCAGACTCCGTGAGGCACCGTTCTGTTGAGGAACGGAAACACTTACCGCTATCAATAAAGTTATTTAAACAGCAAATCAAGTTTACACCCAAATCTTAATGAATACCTTTTTTATTTCTTTGTACAGCTCCAGCTGTAGTCTTGGTAAGTTTGAGTCCATCAGTGCCTGTGAAGTAAAACCAGGAGTCTAGTGAGGAACAGAAGTGAGTCTATAGCAATAGCAAAATTAGATTTTTCACAATTACAAATGTCTTTTTAAAACCATTTGATTTACCATGAGTTAGATTGATTACCAGAAGGATAAAGTTAAACCTATGGCTGTAACCTCTAAATAGATGTTCCCCAATGTCACCAAAGTTACTCCAACGTTTTTAAAAGTTATGGTTTCGGAGCTTTGAAGCTTTTTTAAAGAGGAGTCAGGAACATATCAGCCCATTTTCCCGCAGTGCATTGGTGAGGTCAACAAGACTTTGCTTGAAGTCTCCAATCATTAATTAATCAAAAAATTATTCTATAGACCTTTCTTTGCTCACTAGAAAGTCACGTAGAAAGGAAGCAAACTGTTCACAGAAGCTTTGTCATTGAGAGCTCCTATGGGTCAGAGCCCCACACTGCCATCTGCAGCACACAATCAGCCATCTACAGCAAACCCCATATGTAACACACTGCAGTCTGAAGGTGCGTTTCCGCCAACCTTTACTTATGTGTATTTTGAAGTATCGCATCAGATAAGTCCGACGGAAGCGGCCAAATTAAAATAAACTCCCTCAAATTTGCAAAAAAACTTTTTATGCTAGCATGGGGTGGTTTTTGGCTTTTGTAAAAAATAAAAAAAGGAGTTAATATGCAAAATGAGGGATGGAAACACTTATTTCAGATCAGCTCTGACATAGCGAACTTTTACCTCACATGATCAGATGTCTCTACTATCGGCATCTTCCTAAATGTTCCAATTATGCACGAAAACAGACATTTTTTACCTTTGCCAAGGATTTAACTCCTCCATTTGTTGTTCTTGGAATCTATACCTGTATGTCAATTTTGAATCAGAAAAACTTTCTAAACTATAGCCGTCTAATGATCCTTTAATGGAACATTTTCTTTCCTACATTTCTTTGTTGTTGCTTTTTAGTGGCCATGATCAATGTACAAATATCTATCATTGTCATGAATCCTTCCATCTGAAAATGTGCACAAGCACATTACTCTAGGATTCATTGGGACTTAGAACATTACAGATCATTTCCCAAAACACCAGTATTTTTGGACATTTCCAGGAAATATGTGAATGGTCCACACTGACTGCTCCACACCCTCTCCGACACATCTGTTGTGTTTTTAACTGTTTGTTGTTGTTTTTTTAGCACAATAAAAAAATGATTAAATTCTTCCAGGTAAAATCCCTTGATGTGTAAGATCTAGTAATTGACTGGTAAAATCCTCGAAATGTTTCCCCATTAATCAATATCTATATTGATCACTTTTTCCTCATTTATACTTCACATAACTAGTTGTGTCTTAATGTTTCCAAGAGCTTTACACGATGCTGCAATTATTCTACAATCTTTATTCTCATAGGTCTTGATTATAGTTTGGATCAATTCACTCTCTTCTTCAGAAAGGGCTGTCTGTATCGCAGTTTTATAATTATTTCTCATTTGGAGATATTGGGGCTGGGGGTGGAATACTGCTCTAATTGCTGAAATCTCTCCAGGTCCCATTTTTTCTCCAGAGCTCACCATGCTGCCATCCCTGTTAAAGTCCATTAGTTATTTATTTCCAATCATACTGAGTGGGTGAACTGCTGATAACGAACTACATGTCACCTTTCAATTTAGACAACAGAATTAATATGAGGAATAAGAACATCAGATTTGCTGGATTGGTTAGTTGGAAGTCCGTGACCCCATTAAGCTGTTCCTCAGCAAATTCAGTGATGCAACAAAAAAACAAAATGTAATAGAGATTGAAGAAGAAATGAATGGCTGAGAAAACAGACTCAAACAGCATCTAAACATATCAATACAGGACCTGTAGACGCTAAAATTGCTCTAGACTTTTAGAGACTGCAAATATATATATATATATATATATATATATATATATATATATATAT